CGAGACTTAGGATAGATTCCTATAGTCTACATATCCGCCTCTGTCTTCGGACAGTCCTCACCCGTTAGTTTCTAGTCCAGATCCGATCCGGATTGGCCGTTACTCTATACGTTCGATATCCGGAAGTCTTAACGGATCCATTGCAATACTTATCCGTTTCACTAGACGCGATACTTTAGCTCTCTGAAATAAGGGGCAAGACTCAGGAAAGGGGCACAGCGCACGAGCTGAGGCCAAAGCCCTTCGGATCCGATACTACTTGAGTACGGTCTTAACATGAATGTCGGAAATCCTTCGAAGAACTCAAGAAAGCCTTCACTACGGCTCCGGTGCTTATGCACTGGATGCCGGATGTTCCTATAGTTGTGGAAACCAATGCCTCTGACTACGCTATAGCTGGAATACTATCCATAGTATGTCCGGACTCAGAGCTTCGTCCGGTAGTGTTCTACTCTCGGATGCTAACCGCTCCGGAACTTAATTATGACACCCACGATAAGGAACTCCTAGCTATATACAAAGCTTTCCGGACCTGGCGACATTATCTAGAAGGCTCGGCCAAGCCTGTAGATGTTGTCACGGACCACAAGAACCTTGAGTACTTCGCCACTACCAAACTCCTCTCTCGCCGTCAGGCCCGCTGGTCGGAATTCCTCCATCAGTTCAATCTTGTCATCCGCTTCCGTCCCGGAAAACTCGGAGTTAAACCGGATTCCCTTACTAGACGCTGGGACGTCTATCCCAAAGAGGGGGATAAGGACTACGCTCGAGTTAACCCTCATAACTTCCGTCCGGTATTCACGTCCGAACAGTTAGCTTCGTCCCTATGAGCCTCAACCTTAGCAACTCCGGTTCTTAGAGCAGCTGTTCTAATGGATATTGATGACCTTCGGAAAGACATCCTGACCGCACTTCCTAATGACCCTATTGCAACCAACCATCTTCCCGTACCTTCAGATCCGAGATGGACAGTGGACGATAGGGGTTTCCTCCGTTGCGACAACCGTATATATGTCCCAGAATCCGATAACCTTCGACTTCGCGTCCTCCGTAATACTCATGATCACCCCTTATCCGGACATTTTGGTCAAAACCGAACCCTAGACCTCATCCGACGCGAGTATACATGGCCGGGTATACGCACCTATGTTAAAGACTACGTCTGGTCCTGCACTACCTGCGCCCGAGCCAAGGTTCCGAGACATAAACCCTACGGATTGCTCAAGCAACTACCCATACCGGAAAAGCCTTGGAATTCCATATCCATGGATTTCATAGAGCAACTTCTGGACTCATCTGGCTTTACAGCCATCCTCGTTATCATAGATCGTTTATCCAAACAAGCAATATTTGTTCCGACTCACGATACCATTACCTCTCCGGATCTCGCTCGTCTATTCCTACTTCATGTGTTTTCCAAGCACGGAGTTCCGTCCCATGTCACCTCGGATCGCAAGTACAGAGTTTGTATCCCACTTCTTCCGATCCTTAGGAAAAGCATTGGATATGGTCCTCCACTTCACATCCGGATATCATCCAGAAGGGGATGGACAAACCGAGCGTGCCAACCAAACCCTGGAACAATACCTTCGGATATATTGCAATTATCAACAGGACAACTGGTCGGAACTACTTCCCTTAGCAGAATTTGCCTACAATAACACTCCAAGTGCTACTACCGGAGTATCACCTTTCTTTGCTAATAAGGGTTATGATCCGAACATATCCGTCCATCCGGAACACGATCTATCCTCCATCCGCGCTCGCGACTATGCTATAGACCTCGACGACCTTCACCAATTCCTTAGAGAAGAGATGGCTCACGCCCAAGAAAGATATCAAGGACCTGCGGACGCTAAACGGAAACCTGCTCCAGATATCAATATCGGAGACCAAGTCTTTGTCAAGGCTAAGTACTTCCGGTCCACTCGTCCGTCTAAGAAACTCTCGGAAAAGAATCTAGGTCCGTTTGAAGTCATATCCCATCCGGGTACCCATTCCTCTACCATCCGACTTCCCGAATCCATGAAATCTGTCCACCCTGTCTTCCATGTCTCACAGCTAGAACCATCTGTTCCGAACACAATTCCCAATTGGATCCAGCCTCCTCCACCTCCGGTCGAAGTCGACGGAGAACCAGAATATGAGATATCCGAAATCCTAGACTCTAAGCTGGACCGTCGTAGAAGACAATGCCAACTCTTATACCTCGTCCGATGGTCCGGATACGAAAGAACAGACGAAGAGACTTCATGGCTACTAGCCACGGAACTCGGAAACGCGTCCGATCTAGTCTCGGATTTCCACACTGCATATCCAGACAAACCCGGTCCTATTGCTATACAATGAATACACAAAGCGGATATACAAGTACATTAGTAGCAGAGAAGGCAGATCCAAAAATCCTCAGCCATCCATCTCCATGTCCCCACCCGATCCGGATCCGGATTCATCAGCGTCCTTGTCAGTGGCCTCAGAACGAGCCGCCTCTGTAATCCGGATTCCATTCCGGATCCCCTCAAGAAGGATGGTCTGGAACTCCCTCTGCTGCTCCAAAAACGCCTCCAAGTTAGTATTCATCCGCTCTATAGCAGTCCTACTCCCTTCCGCCGCTCCGATGCTCTGCTGGAGCAATCTGTTGGTCCGAGCCAGTTCCGCTACAATGCTATTAGCGGCCGCGACCCAGGCCTGATCATCATACTCCACTTCCACCTCATCCGCTACTACCGTCTTCATATCCGGATCCGGAGTCGGACTCTGCTGGCGCTTCTTACCCTTGCCTCTCGGAGATGGGTTCTCAGCAGCGCGCTGCCTCTTCTTAGACTTGGAATCCGTAACGGTTCCAGGTAGTCCGGGACAAGGAGCCTTGTCCTTCCGGCATGTGTTACAAGCCTTGATCTATCCGAGCGTTAAGAGTCACGGATCCGAAGATTCAAGGACGACTTACCAAGCAATTGCTATCCACATCGGACCACAGACAGGCCCGACCCTTCTTAGCGCAGCGGGTACAAGCCCCATCCTTATCCGCTGAGATAGCGCAAGACTACGGATCCGATAAGGGACGGATCCGATAGAACAAGTCATAACTCACCATTTCCGCTACTATAGCCCTGCGCCTAGCCTCCTCCGCTTCCCTTCGGACCTCAGCCCGTTCAATCTTCTTAATCCCTGCCAAGCGCTTCCGTTCCGCCTCTTCCGCTTGTTGCTTCAGCTTTTCAGCCTCTTCCTCCTTCCGAACCTCGGCCTCAGCAGCAGCCAGCGTGGCCTGGATATCCGCCAGAGTCTGCTTAGCGGTCTTCTTAGAGCCGGATCCGTTATCAGTCATGGTTGAGTTAAGCTAGTGGTAGTGAAAAAGTAGGGAAAGGAAGGAACACCCTGCGACGCTTTGGTATCCGTATATCTGTCAGAATCCGAACTCAGCAACTTCTCCCATCAGCTTCTCCATTGTCTCGCACTCATACCATCCGTTCCGGATCGCTGATTCTTGTGCCTCTAGGGATCGGCCCTAAGGGGGGGATACTGTCATATACCATGTATCCGGTTACAGATCCGATGACCCGGATCTCAGATCCGATCCAGATCCGATGAACATATCCGTCGTCCGGTCCACAGATCCGCTTTGATTCTTATTTCATTTCCTGTTCATATAACTCTAACTATCGTTCATCTCCTTTCGGTATTCCTGTACACCGGTATACCGGTTATCCTTTACTTCCGCTTTGCTTACTGATCCGCTACACTTACGAATCCGCTTTTACTTGTACTTCATTCCCGGTTCATGATTCGTGATTCATCCGACTTACCAATACGCTCCACTTAGACTTTGCTTATACTTTCGTTCATAGCCTCGCACCTTTGCTTATTGATCATTCCGTTAGCTATCCGTAGTATATAAACCTTTGTATATGCGCTGTAGTAGATCAGTTTGAATATCATCTTAGATTGCACTCATTCCGTCTGGACTCTAAGTCCCCCTGTTATCCGTCCGGACTTGAGTACGCTACTCTTGTCTACTCCGAGACTTAGGATAGATTCCTATAGTCTACATATCCGCCTCTGTCATTTGGACAGTCCTCACCCGTTAGTTTCTAGTCCGGATCCGATCCAGATTAGCCGTTACTCTATACATTCGATATCCGGAAGTCTTAACGGATCCGTTGCGATACAAGACTTATCCGTTACAATACTTATCCGTCTCACTAGACGCGATACTTTAGCTCTCTGAAATAAGGGGCAAGACTCGGGAAAGGGGCACAGCGCACGAGCTGAGGCCAAAGCCCTTCAGATCCGATACTACTTGAGTATGGTCTTAACACTATTACACTTTGTATTTTGTTATGCACCCTTACTTTACATCATTTTACCTCACTTACATACTAAGAGCGCTCCCTATTCAGCTCCGAGCCCTGGGAGAGCGCTTAGGTAGAACTTACATACTTTCATGTTCGTTTTACACCTTAGCTTCCTACCACTCAGATCTGGGGACCACCATGTTACTTGGCAGTTAGTTCCATGCAATGCATGTGTCCGTCGTTGTCTTAAGGCTCTAGCATCAGTCTAAAGCTAGTGGTAGTATCAGTATCCATCTATATCTGCACTTTTCACCATATTATCATCTCTCTACACTTGTCCACTGCTCGCACTACCATCCCTGTTCTCCGCGCATTTTCGCATTTTTGCCTTTTTGCCTTCCTGCGCTTTGCGCATTTTCGCGTTTCACTTTCCCGCACGCACCTTCAGCGCGTTTCTCACGCTTACATCGCCCTTTTGTCGCCTTTGATCAGGGTTGATCAGCATCATTCCGTGGATCCTTGCTTTCCTTGCTTCCCCTTTAGGGTCAAATGTTCTTGCATTCTGCAAGTATAGCAGCTAGGCAGAGCTTAGACTCACTTATACTGGTTGAGCACCCTTTATTTCTTAGTGCCTAGCCAGGTTGTGATCCGCACACCGTCATCTAAATATTCAAACATAAGCGCCTGTCGAATGAGAGCAAGAAAAACTTACTGGTATGCACATGATGCGTCCCACAGATAAAATCCACCTCCTTCTGACAGCTCATCGTCAAAATAAGCCTGGCCATTGATGTCCAGCGTGAGGCCAAATGGCACTGCTTCTCGTGAAATGCCGTCAAGAGTGGAGGGGAGGATATCAAAACCAAGACTGTAAAGCCAGCCACCATATGAGCCCACTGTGAAGAAGTGCTGCTCTTGCGTGAGGCTGGTTCATGAACTCGTGACAGTGTTGTTCGTACATAATATAGTCAGCATAAACAGGCCTGAAATGGGGAAGCCTGCGATCCTTTGGGGAGAGGACGTGTCCAAGCGAGTATGTACGGAGTTCCATAAGTGGGCGCCGAGTGTGAGGTGCAACTGAGATTGGCTGCAACGTCTTTATAGCAATTCCTTTTTCAAGGAGGTTACAGGTGATGTTGGTGATATCCAAACCCCAGTCATGCTGGAGGCACATCACAGCCGTAATAGCGTCAGGAACCACCAGTTTTCAGGGAACCAGAGTTGACAACAGCAGCTTGATGATGTAAAGCCGCTGCTTGGGTTGTTGTACATAGGAAACTCGAATATTTGCGTTCGAGACTGACAGGGATGAGTCAGGTCCTAGATCCCAGAGATTGGGCAGGATGTCTGACAACTGAGATAGAGGGAGGGTGACGAGGTAACCTATAAAACAGGTGATGATATGCTTCTGTACATCTGGAATTGATGTGATATATGCAGGGTCGTTGCCCACAAGTTTGCATAAGTGAGCCCACTGTGTCTTGTGAGTCCAATCATCAAATGCGGTCGATCTGCCTCTGGGTGTAGAGGTAGATGCCACAAGGCAATAACCAAGATGAAAATGCAAAATAGACATGAATTGCTCAACATTATGAGTGTATTGCGCTGAGGGTGCAACCTCATAATGACCAAAGTAGGTTTTGATGTCCCTCAAGAAACTGGACAGTGGGGGTGGGGGGGGGGGGGGGGGGGGGGAGGGGGAGCAGGGGTAGGTTCAGAAGGAATAGGAAACTGATCCTCTTCCCAATCGCCATCGGGAATGCTGGAAAGGTCTAACACATTGCACAAGTCCTACTGGTTACAGAACGAGTCATATACCCTGGTAGACGTGCTATACGACATCCAAGTCATCAGTATCTTGGCCTTTGTGAGATGGACATGTTGACAAAAGCCGCCAAACTCATCATTGGGTTACCATTCAAATACTATGACTGTGCTGTATTTGCCAGGAATGCTGTGGCTCATGGCTGCCCACTGTCTTACTAGGATGTGAAAGGCAAGAAAACTCTCCAAATTTCACAATCCTCCATGGTCAATGGTTCAGACAATTACCAACGGTTGATAATGTGGTCATTCGTGGGGGACGAGGTGTGTTGAACTTTTCAAGCGAATGCTAGTGATGTAAAAGGGGCAAAGAAATGATAGAAACCAATAGTAGCACAAGGTAGTGCTATAACCTTCAGAATAATGTGTTGCAACTGTATGCAATGAACTAAAACTATACTATATCCCTCTTGGATATTCCTTACTTATACTTCAGCAATGGAGAACAAATTCACTAGTGGGATCATCCCAATACGTGGCCTCGAAACCAACTCTCTGCTGCTCAGGATCTCACAATGAGTAATGACGCAGTCCAGAATAGAGTACACCTTCTTGATGTAGTCTTAAGTGGCCAAGCTCTTAATATTTGTTGATAGATTGTAGGTCTTATTTGTGTCTACCCTAATTGATGAATAATATGTGAAATTCTCCCCACAGAACTTTTCCTGTGTCTAAAAGAGAACTAGAATGATTGAAGACAATATAATCAAAGATGGCTCAAGAATGTGGCCAAATACTTCTGAAGAATGTGCTTTAAGAATAATGTGGATTGAAGATTATGTAATCAAATGTGGCTCGAGAATGTGGCCAGATACTTCTGAAGAATGTGAAGTATAATGTCAAAGCAATGGAGCTAATAAGCTAATATTTCTCCTAATAGTCACTTGAATGTTCACTCAAATAATGGGGACTAAGAATCTAAGGGGTGAAAGAATGTTCCCCTATGTTCCCCTAAACTGTGCTTCACTCTGTTAATACTTGGGAATCAAATTGATTACTTCACAAGAGGGGAAATGAGCCCCTTATATACTACTAGACTAGTGGCTGTGCTACTGATTACTAATGTACTATAGAATATTCCAGAATGTATCAGAATTATTGAGAAAGAACTATAGAATGTCATGGAATGTCATAGAATGAGTTAGTAAGAGAGATGACTCAGTATGAGTCATAGCAAACATGACTCATTATGACTCATCTGTTTGGTTACCAATCCAAAGTTGTTTATTGGTATTGTCAACTTGTTTGATACCACAGCCTTAAGTACACAAATACAAATGAAGTGGCATGACATATGTTTGGCATAGGGGTAAATAAAATACAGAATTATAGAAAGGATAAAGGGTACGTCAAATATTTAATTTGAACTGCTAAGTCATATCTTGGTGATACATGCTCAGAAATGTCCAAAGTAAATTGAAGTAAGGTATATAAAATTCAGGGGAAGTGCATAGACTATAGTAAGGAATTGCATGTATCATAAATTTGCCATGACCATGTATGAAACAGGTTTCGTGCGTGTCACCGCTCATGGCTCTGATGTGACTGCCACTGGGCTGGCATCTCTGTCTGCTCCTTCCTGTTGTTCTCCTCATGGCGCCGCACAAAGAATGTCTTCCAATCTTCTCCTCACTTCTGTCCAGAGTGGGGTTCGGGGATTGGGAACAAAGAGTCTGCAGGTGCTTCAGGAACATTAGACATGGGCTGTGCTCCACTGTTCTGACCTCATCCAAGGGCACTATCATCCCATTTGAAGGTATTCTGACTCTCCTCTGGTTGACCCCACATACTGGAGTCCAGTTGACCCCAAGCGTTGTCTTGGCCCCACTGCGTTGGCTCGGTTGCGCGAGTGACAGCTGCCGCAGGTGGGATATAATGACACAGACTGGGATTGATAGTGGCAGAAGTATTCTGAGGAATGTGGACCCAAATCGGGATCAAGAATTTCTCAAATATGGGCAATTGAGCTTGCCAAGGACAGTGAATGGAAGAAATGAGGGCTCCCATATGTGGCACATTTGTTGTCAGATCTCCAACAAATGAGCATGTCAACTCAAGAACCCATTCAGCGGGTATAGGATAACGGGGATCATCAGTTAAGATGACCATCCAGGTGCAATTGGAGCCGTGGTAGCAACAACTCATGATGTGCCATGAGCAAGTGGTGGCAATTACTGGAAATATGTCAGGCAATCACAATGAAATAAATATATGATTGACTTACATAGAAATACGTTATGCAACCTTATCATGACCTTTTTAGCAAGGTTAGCATCTGCATGCGACTATTGGTACCCATAGGTAGTTGGAGGGCATGGAAGTTCAGTCCCCCACGGAATGAGCAACCCTGCACCCAAACATTCCTGGCACAAGAGTAATTTCTGCTCTAATTCAACCCATTTTTCTGGAATGTCGTGATGGAGAATGTGTTTCCCCTGATTGTCTACCTCTGTCAGGAGCGAAAACCTGGAGTGGTTAAGGCATCCAAAGATCGGTCCATTGAAGCTGGGATTCAAAGGTATGAGGGGAAACCACGGACGAGCTCCATACACCCAGCAAGTGTTAAGTAGTGTATCACTATAATCAGAAGAAGCATCGTGGTCTTTGCGAGGATCCCAGTGAGGCTCATAAGGAATGACATTGGGAAGTGAATGTGCGGTGACAGATGTATAGACCTGCCCATCACGGGCAAAGACATGGAGATCGTTATTCATGGGTGGAGACGCGGAGAATATATAGTCAAGACAAGATTACTGCAACAGTATGAACCATCACGCTAAGTTTGGATCAAAATCTCCTGCAATAGTATGTACTGATATGTTAGATAAGGAAGAAGGAAAGGGCTCAGTGCATCTATATAGTAATGGTAGAGTTTCAAGAAGTGATTACCATATTGGTGGCAACAATGCCTGGAGATCACAGGTATGGCTATTGTGGCTTGTGGAGAAAACAAAACAAGTGTGGTTTCAGATGTGAAGTAAGAACCACCAAATGAGGATGATTGTGGATAAAAAATATGCAATTTGCCACAGGCATGTATTGAAATTTTATTGTGTGTGTGGCCACAGATTGTCAACATTGTAAGGTGAAGGGTCAGTAGTACTATACTATGGTCGTCTGGGCTTTTGTGTTAGAGTTAGAGTTGACGTTCATAGGGTCAAGGTTCAGTTAGTTAGGGCAGAGGACAACTATGACGGTTGCTAGCGATCATGCATGAAGATGCCTGGTGAGAACTAAACCATGATCAACATGCAATGAGGGGTCCCATAACAGACCAGAGAAAGAATGCTAAACCCATGATCAATATATGATGCAGAAAAACATTAAAATGACTCACTGATTTGTCGATGCAGGTTTCTGCCCAAGTCATGTCTATGATAGGCAGTCCTATGAGAGTTCAGGGCAAGGATGTCAAACCCATGATCAATATGTGATGGAGGGTCCTTGAAAGACCAGGGAAAGCATGCTAAACCCATGATCAATAACCAGGCGTTATGTGGAAGGTTGATGTCAATTGAGGAGCCTGGAGAATGAATGCTGGGCAGGACCATACATACAGTCATGCCCTGAAGAAGGTCATTGTCGATGAGTTTCTGCCCAAGTTGTTTCTGTGATAGGCAGTCCAATGAAAGAGCAGAGTAAGGATGTTAAGCCCATGATCAATATGGGACAAAGGGCCCTAAGGAAGACCAGGGAAAGGATGTTAAACCCATGATCAATAAGAGGAGAATAATGTCATGATGACTCACTTCATAGATCTGCAGTTTCTGCCCAAGTTGTTTCTGCGATAGGCAGTCCAATGAAAGAGCAGGGTAAGGATGTTAAGCCCATGATCAATATCACCAGGAAGCGATGGATGTTGACTTGGAGTTGGGACATTGGCAGGGGTGATGAAAGCAGAGAATGCTGGGCACAACCATACATACAGTCATGCCCTGCAGAAAGTTGCAGAAGGTCGTTGTCAACAAGAGGCCTGATGATGATACAAGAAGCGAACACCGGGCATGACCATACATACAGTCATGCCCTGGAGAAGGTCCTGAAAGGATTGTTGTCGACAAGAAGTCCAGCCCAAGAGGAGAATGCAGGGCATGACTGTATGTACAGTCATGCCCTGGAAGAAGGTGAGAGGAAGGTCATTGTTGACAAGGAGAATGGTAGGCTCAACAGCACAAACCGTCAAACCTAGGAGAAGGTTGTAAAAAGACAAGTACTAGTAATAGTAATCAGGATTAGGGACTTGGAACTTTGGCGATGAAATCGCCCAACAGTCACAAACAACTACATTAGGAAATTGTTACATAATATTGACTGCTCAAGCCTTTCAAGCTTTGGCCCTAACATTTATCACAACTACGAGCTCGATGGTTTGTACTGTCAAGCTCATTGGGCTCATCATCCCCATCCTCAAAGCACAACAGTATGTACTGTCGTGCTCATCGAGTTCATCATTCCTATCTTCAGGGCACAATGGTATGTACTGTCATGTCTCCTGCATTTCAATAAATGCCATTACCATCCACCTCACCAACTCCATCCCTTTTCGCTGAACTCTTGTCAACTCCTCCGCTTAACAATCCAGCTGTCAACACCTGTCATCCCCTCTACTGTACATACAGTAGAGTGGGCAATGGCTCACCCGCCTTCACTGACAGCGATCCTTGAGATCACGCTGGCTCATTCCTCCATACATCCTCTGAGTCAGGTAAGCTCCAATTTTTGACAGATCCAACCATTAATCAACCAACAAGTCCAGCCGTAAACACCTGTCATCCCCTCCACCGTACATACAGTGGAGTGGGCAATGGCTAATTCGCTTTCACTTATCGCGACCCCTTGGATCATGTTGGCAAACAATTTAGCCATTAACATCTGTCATCCCCTTCACCATACATACAGCGGAGGGGGAATTGACTTATCCTCCATACACCATCTATTCAACATGCTATGCTACCACAACTTTCATCCATAGGAACATCTCACCTGACACATTCAACCTTTCCACCTGGCCTCCAGTAAGGCCATCAAACCATCCGGTGTTGTATAGGGCCTTGGGTAATCCAGTGACCAGGCTCCGTACAGTCGTTGAATTTCCTGATGCGCGTATTCTTTTCATTGGTGTGGAACCCTGGGGCACGAAAATTTCATCATCCAACACTCTCTGGCTATTGATGATATTCAGTTCTCGCTCTATCCTGCGAGGCCATGCTATATTGTACACATTTGACATTGTTTTCTACGTCACTTTCTTCTGAACTCATATGCCCATCTCCCAGCATCTTGATTAGTTTTTGAAGCCACTGCCAAGCTGGTAGGTCCTTGTCCTCACCATCTTTCTTCAGTTCGATAACTTGCTCCAGAACTTTCGCTCTGCGGAGATATTTCTATAAATGCATTAGTACCTGAAGAGCCTTGAGATCATGCTGTGGACATACATTTTGCCGACAAGTTGTTTGGCAAACCGACTTCAGATTTTCGTCTCTTTTTGCAATTAACCTCTCCTCCACTTCTGCCGCAGTCTCCAAGCCACCCTTTGCTGTAACCTTTGGTTGTGCTGCTCTCCAGACTGTCCACAACCACTTGTAGCGATCTTCAAGTATCACCTTATAATATCCATCCAACCTCCGAAACAGCCACTCCTCTTCTATGGTCCTCTTTTTCAATTCTTCAAGGAGAATATCAAGAATTTTGGCATTCCAGGGGGTGTTAGATCTGTGTTTGAGATCAAAGGCCGGATTCTGGGTATTGGGGCCTGGGCAATCTTCATACTCATATGAGTACACATCTTCATGATCCGCATCTTGAGATATACTGAAGGTATCTTTGAGGAGACGTTGGATTTCACCCTACTTCATACTCAGCATCAGCATATACATCAAAAATTTAACTCTCGCAAGGAGGAAGTCTCTTTTGTGGCTCAATTCTGTGGCCCTTTCTATCCTAATTTCATCATCCTGCTTCTTTTTCCTTCAAGGACTACACTTCGTGGACATCAGGATATCCTTATTGATGAAGATGCATCTGAGTGCCGCCTCTATTCCTTTGGAGATCACATTTTCCATCACAGACATAGGGTAGATGTCGTCAGGCTGAAATTGCTGTGGCTCTTGCTCAATCATCGGTGATCGTTCTTGATGCCTTTCCATAGGGTCGTCAGCGTCCTGCTATGACATGAGTTTAAAACGAGTTCTGACCGCTTAGTACTTACCTCTACTACAGATACCAGACGCATCTTGTGTGTTGTTCCATGTGCCTTCCTGATCTTTTTAATCGTCTCGAGGCATGGAGTCTTGAACTGTGGTTTCTGGGGCATTTTGGGTGGGTGTTGAGTGTTCTTTCGGGTGGGGTCTGTCCCCATTTCCATGGCCACATGCTGTTGCCTACCGTGTCTTGCGAAGCGCTGCTCCATGTTAGCAAGCTCATTCTCTTTGTCTACCTTCATTTTTTCTATTTCTAGTTGTAGCCTTCGCTCCATTTCGGTGAGGGCGAGGAATGATAGCTGCGTGCTAGGGGGAAGAGTGGGAAGTGGGCTCTCAAGTGCTCCTCTGGATACGAGTGGAAAGTCGTCCCAAGGGGATTGCTACTGAGAAAGATTCCTCTAGTGAATGGTGAGGGGGATCTATAAGCAGCGATTCAGTCTCGAAGTCTGAATGGGACACTGAGGCAAATAATGCACCCAAAAGCGAAGTGCGCTAGCTAAAGGCGCCTAAACGTGCTAATAAGGCGGAAAGTGCGGAAAAGCGCACTTCGTGCGATCACAATGGAGTGCTTTGAGTAGAGATGACAATCAAATGGGGAATCAGGACTTTGATAGATGTAGAAATAGACACTTAAAGGTGTCAAAGCGCCAAAAGGAAGGAAAACCGGTGTATTCAGATAGAAACTCGAGCTATACACTTCGATGGTAGTGGAGCGGAAGTAAGTGACCGGAAAACAAACATGGTGATGTGTAGGTATGCTAAGCGAGTTCCCACGGCTCGGAGCCAAATAGGAAGTACTAAGGTAAATGGTGAGGTAAGTCAGGGTCCATAACGAGATATGATGATAAGTACTGGTGCCTGCATGACGGAGTATGAGTTCTGAAGAAGGGAAAATGCACCAATGGACCTTGGAGGACTGGGACGGGACATGCGGAGGACAGGCGACGGATCCTAGGGAAATGCGACAAAGTGCACCGTAACGTGCTCGAACGCACTTGAACGCGCCAAGGCGCATATGTGTGTAACCAGGAAGGTGCGAGCAGGCAGTAGCGAGGGTTCGTCAATGCAAGGATGAGAGAAGGCGAGGCGCAACGCGAAAAAAGCGACAGCGTGAAATGCGACAAAGGCGAAACGCGACAGAGCGAAGCGCGACGAAACGCGAAACGTGACGAAAACGAAACGCAATGAAACGCGAAATGCGACGAAAACGAAACGCGAATAAGACGAAACACGATGAAACACAAAACGCAACAAAAACGAAACACGACGAAACGTGAATAAGATGAAACGCGACGAAACGCGAAACACGATGAAAACGAAACACGACGAAACGTGAATAAGACGAAACACGACGAAACGTGAATACGCGATGAAGACGAAACACGACACAGCGTGTTATTACAGATGCGCGACTGCAGGAATGTGGATACTCGATATGCGAAAGTGTGTATGGGTAGAAATGCGCTAGCGCGAAAGCGTGTTTGTCGCGTTTGAGGCGCGTTTCGGATTTAGAAGGCGCGTTGCATGGATATTGAGGGTGTCGTGAAAAAGCGTGAATTTGGCCCATATGAGCCTGGAGAAACGCGAGTCTCTACATCGGCAAAAACGGCTTTCTCATGTTCTTCTAACTGCTTGACATCATTAGTGATTCCCGTGTTCGGTCGTTCTTCCCCACCTCCAGATTTTTTCTTGTATTTAAATCTGCATTGTGTCGTGCCAGTTCTTCAGTCAACTACTTGCCATCATTAGAAATTCCTTGGTCAGTTGTTCTTTCTCACCTCTTGGTCTTTTCTTGCACTTATCATTGCTTCGTGCCGTGCTAGTTCTTCAGCAACATTCTTCCTCAGTAGTGCTTGCTGCTGCTCTTGCCATGTGTGAATGTCCTATTAAGTTGTAAGCATGCATATAACTGAATGTATCTGTTGCACTTACTTGCTTTTCCCGCTCTTGCTCTCTCGGAGTTGCTTCCCATTGCTGAGTTTTCTCATTGAAATCACGCATGTGAGGCTCACACTCTTCTTCTGCAAGACATTGTTGCTCCTCAATGTGGTCTTGAGCTTCTCAGCATATCTACTGGTATGATCAGCAGTATATTTTCAATGAGTTTCTCATGCGTACCACTTCAGCTTCCTCCATAATATTGTTAATACATTCTTGTTGTTCATACACAGTCTGGCAAAGTGTCTCCAAATAGTCAACTTCATGAAAGCGACACTTCCCAGATATCTGGATGGGCATTATGAGTCATAGAAGCTGATTCATGCTATCTACATACCACTTCATCTCTAGCCCTCTTTTCAAGTCACAGAACACTGGTGGGAGGCTGACTGAGAGCATCCATGGAGTCACCAGCATCCTTATCATTGTCTTCATCATCACTAAATAAATCTGCATCATGAGATGTTTGTACGTCTTCTGGCTGAAATTCGAGATGCTGCATGTTGATGTCAGTGTTATCGACATTCATAATGGGGCAAGAATCCATCATCAGTTTGCAAACATCATTCCTGGGTCTTTTCAAGTTGTGTGCATGCATTTTTGTCTTGATTCTTTTAGATGTCTTGTTGTATGAACAACAGAACAACAGGTCCAGGTTCATCTCCATCACTTTCAATTATCTTTTGCTCTATTTGCTCTATTTGCTCTTACAATTATGTTGTATAATTACCCTTGGCGACCAGTGTATTAACAGGAATATATTTCCTCATACAATTACCCTTGACAACAAGCGCTGCAGGATTGTCATTCTTCGGTTTGGCTCCCCGCTGTTTTTTTCGTCAACTGCATCTCCCGAACAATTATGATTATTGTCTTTGACTCAGCATGTGAAATTTTTAAAAGCCGGGCTGCTACTATAGCCTGCTTCCATCGCCCACTTTCATTGCCTGCATTCTTTGCCCACCTCTTAGATTATTGCCTTGATCGAATTATAATCAGATGGTAAACACTCGCACATATATTCTTCCAACATGTTCTGTAAGTTATCACTTATACCTCTTCTCCAGGAGGCTACCATGCAGCTTTATGTTCATAACTGTTTCATGAATGTGTGCAAAGGGAGACACATTTATCGATTCTGCATCTTCTTCAAGTGACACCTTTGTCTCAGAGCCAACGTGCTTCTTAGCAGTGGTGATCATGAGTTCCAAGGCGACGCAGTTGTTATGAGGGTTGGAGTCAACCATCCCTCAGTTGTGAACATGCGAGCTAGAGATAATGTGCTTGCTGACTTTATAATTCACCAGTGAGTAAACTCAATGATCTATTTGAGCCTATCATAACTATCTTTTCAGCTTTGCGCAAAGCATAAGTAGTTGTCCAAGAGCTAGGCTCCCATGCAATCTTACTCTTGTGAAACCCTTGAGCACTTGTAGCAATTGTTGGTCAGCTGCGAAATGTGGAGTAGTATAATAGTATAATTTCCTAGACTATGAAAGCATTGTTATATACCGAATTTCTCAGCTGGACTGCAGATATATGCCAAACAAGATCTGTTCCATATATTCCATATAGAATGCCATCTTGTTGTAGTACAGTGTCATGATCTTGACTAAACATTCGAAAGTGCCGGCTTGAACTGATACTGACAGGTTCTGGGTAGCTTCGCAGACAACTTGCATAATGTAATTTTGAAACTCATGGTTACTAGTCTTTCCTACACCTATTATTATTAGAATTTTCAAGCCAAGGGCGCATGAAATGTCTATTGTTTGGGTCTGATACTGTAAATGAATATGCTTGATTTTGGAATGCCAACTTAATACAGAATGCATACAGCGGGTAATGACAGAGACATCTAATGCAGTGGGGTATCACTTCCTGACCTTGCTCTTGCTCTTGCCTACAGCCATTTCTCCCTCCTTTCATCTCACATGACCAGATGTGTATTTCAGGTGTGTCATGATCATATCACTAACTGGCCACAATTTATTATAATTGTCAAGATCTGGGAAGTTGTTGAGCGCCTGAGATGATATCATAAGTTCATTGACAATATCAAGACTCAGAGAAACTGTTCACCTTGCCACACACGACTTCCAATAGTGCGGGATTTTGGGCAGAAGCGCATTTTGTTGTGTCAAGGTGGTCCTCAATGAGACTATGCATAGATTTCTTAGGAATTTGTTAGTTAATTTGCAATACTAAGGGTACAATGACAATGTGCGAACCTTTAATTTTGCATATGCCTTTAGATTCCAATCTAAAGCTTCACAAAGTGTGTATCCCCCATGCCACAGATGCCCAGGTTCACCGGCAGGTTTAGGAATCTTTGAGTCTTCCGATATGCTCACGCTCAAAGTTGAGGAGTCACTATCTGAGACCAAAGAGCCTGAGGTTCCCTGATATATTTTACATACTCCAGGAGACATCACAGACCACTGGAGCACTCAGGAGTCATTCATCACTTGAAGACCCCTCGCTCAATCCAAAGGATCTCTCGGTTGCATCTACATGCCCGTGAGCCCCAGTTCCCGGTCACTGCACCTGTATGCACAACCCACCGGCAGCTCACCAACTCCCCTTCGGCAAACTCCATACATTTGTGTCCTTCTGCAAGTACTATATCAAGCGACTCTGGCATCTCTGACCATCCCAATCTTCCACGTGATCGCTGGTGCCCCTCATAGTCACATAAGAAACACTGCAAAAAAAGAAAACTGCAAAAAAAAACAAGGGAGGGTCCTGGGATGCCCAGCAGGCTGTTGTATTAGATATCTCAGCAAGAGAGCACTACTTAGCTGGTGGAATTGAATTGGGCCTTGAAAAATTCATCCATGAGTGAATATTCAGGAATCAGGGCATGGTAAAAGGAAAAGACTGTTTGTCCTGTCTGGCTGCTTAGCAAGACTGGTCAAGATAGACTCATTCGGTTACAAGTCACAAAACATCATGCATTGACAGTACAATCACATGGGATTAGCAGTCATTTACCAGAAATGAAATAAAAAAGACTGGTTTACATTTAATTCAATGGATACAAAACATGCCAGGAATAAGCGAGTCAGGGGCTGGCGCCAGCACCATCACGATATGACACTGTAACTGCAGAACAAAAAGCCGGACAGCCACACTATACTATGGAACCTGCAGGTTGTCGATTGCATCAATCTCTTTAGAGGTGTACAGAGTCCTCAACGGCTGTGAACACATCCAAGTGAGCTTGACTTTTGAATGTCGAAGAGCCTGCCTGAAAGTGCAAAATAGGTGACTTACAGTGGCTCAAAAAAACCGTCCGTATGTTTTGGCATTTTTCACTATCTATGATATTGTGTGAGAATGAACAAATTCCTCAAGGACATACTTATACCACATTGTAGTATGGCTTCAGGGCTTTTATTTGAGCCCTACACCGTGGGAATCGGCGGAGATATGGTGGAGATATAAGGCTTATAAAATGATGACTCATGTGGACAGTTTTTGAGTGTATATTAAAACTATATAAATCATTATTTATGACACCATAAAAATCATGCCACTATTATATAAATTATAAAGTGGTGTCATTATGTTATTTTATGACTATATCTAACTATATAAACCAGAATATCTCATGTATCATAGTCATAATCACCATGAAAGCCATCTCCTCTGCTCAAAGAGATAATATCCTCTCTCTGTCTTATGCTGGCCTCTCTGCTCGCCAAATTTCCTCTAGAACTGGAATATGCAAGTCCACTGTGGCCAAGTTCATCAAAGAAAGCCACCCAGACAAGGAAAACTCTTGTGGAGGACGTCCATCCAAGCTTACCTCTACTGACAAAAGGGCTATTATCCAACATATCACTACAGGAAAGGCTGATAATGCTGTCCAAGCCACCCATTATATCAATTCCACCATCACTACCCCTGTCTCTTCACAAACTGTGAGGAATGTTCTCAAGGCAGCTCATCTCAAGGCAGTAACAAAGAAGAAAAAGCCTCTTCTCTCCATCAAACATAGGCAGAGAAGACTAGCCTTTGCCTTAGCTCATCAACACTGGACTGTAGAGGACTGGAAGCATGTTATATGGTCAGATGAGACCAAAATCAATAGGATTGGGTCAGATGGGAAGGTGTATGTATGGAAAAAGAAGGGAGATGGCCTAACAGACAGAGAGGTTAATGGGACTGTCAAGTTTGGAGGAGGTTCTTTAATGGTATGGGGCTGTATGGGATGGAATGGTGTGGGAATGCTTCCTGAGGTTGAGGGGAAGATGAATGCTGAGCAGTATGTGGACATTTTAAATGACCACTTGCTGCCTAGCTTGGCAGAATCAGGGATTGATGAAGAAGATATCATTTTCCAACAGGATAATGATCCCAAGCACACATCCAGAAGAGCTAGGGAATGGTTTGAAGAACATAACATCAATGTTCTTGACTGGCCAGCACAGTCTCCTGATGTCAATGTCATTGAACATCTCTGGGGAACACTCAAGAAAAAGCTTCAAGCCTATGAAAACCCCCCTAAAGGAGTATGGGAGCTTTGGGAGAGAGTAGCAGTGGAATGGGGGAAGATCACAGCTGAGGATTGCCAGAAATTAATTGAGAGTATGCCTAGAAGGATAGAGGCAGTAATTAAAGCCAAGGGAGGTCATACAAAATACTAGAATACCTGGTTATTACTGTAAAATACTTGAGTCAAAAAACTGTCCGCATGAGTCACCATTTTGTGAGCCTTGTATCTCCACCATATCTCCACCGATTCCCACGGTGTAGGGCTCAAATGAAAGCCCTGAAGCCATACTACAATGTGGTATAAGCATGTTTTTGAGGCATTTGTTTGTTCTCACACAATATTATAGATAGTGAAAAATGCCAAAACATACGGACGGTTTTTTTGAGCCACTGTAGATAACAATGATGAAAATCCCCTACACCTGTCACGAACTCTACTGCTCGATACTGTTGTCCTGCATGATTTGGGAATCATGCATGGACATGACTACGAGGTATTCCCCTAAAAGACAAAGTCTGTTAGCTTAGTCCTCAGACTAGTCAACCCATACCTTGGTATCAAACCTTGGTCCAATAGTTTCAGTTTTCCCTCAGTGATTCATGAATCCACCTTGTTTTGAAGAAAAGTCATATGTGAGATGGGAATCACATAATGACCTAGTTGATATGAGAAGCAAATTGAAGGTTAAGGTATTGCCTTTCCTTTGGCTTATTCACTTTGGCTAGAGAAACCCATAGAGAAAAGTTCAAAGCCTAACAAAAACCTATCTAAAAAGCCTGCGTATTGTGTACTATTATTTGTTCCATTATTTCTGAGTAGTTTTCTCTAGTGTTTTTTTACTTTACTTTTCTATTAGGATGCTCTGACTAATCAGATGCTTCATAAAATTGTACATACAGGGTATGATGTCATAATGATGTCATAGGACTTCACACACACTCCTGCAGGTATTCTGTTGAAAGATATGATATCATAGTGATGTCATAATGATGTCATCAATTCCAGAATGTTCCATGGAATTTGCTAGAACATTCCAATGACTCATAATGATGTCATTATCCCACCATGAATATTCTGGAATGTTCTTTTGCACCTGCTAGAACATTCTGCTCCAGTTTTTGGAATATTCTTCTCACATTCTGAAGTCATTACATCACCTTTTTACTTACATAATATTCCCACACAAAATGTATATAAGGAGAGCCCATTCTCCCTCAAAAAAATAGATCTCCCACTTGTTGCATTCAAGAATCTCCCACTTGAGCCAATTGAACTCTCACCTAAGAAGCTTCAGCCTGAACAGATTGCTGCTTACAAAGCACATTTCCTTTGTAAGTACTGTCCAGACAAGTGCAGGGAAAGTGTATCCCTTGAGATTACGTAAGTTTCTCGCGATAGAAACCCAGTTTTGTGAGACCAGCATTCTCACCACATAGTGTTTACTGACCAACATGAGCTTTGGTCATCGTTGTCATTTGTGAGACCAGCGTTCTCACCAGGTATTTGTATATTGACCAACATGAGCTTTGGTGATTGTTTTCTATTTGTCATTGTTGTTATTTGTGAGACCAGTGTTCTCACCAGGTATTGTATACTGGCCAACACGAGCTTTGGTCATTGTAGTCACATTTGAGACCCACTTCTCAACAGTTAATTGTATATTCAGGAAACCAGTTCAAGTGTCTAGACGGTATATCCTAGACAATCCCATAGTTTCAATCAGAGATAATAAAGCTCTGGCTAAGTTAATCTAACTGATTGGTTTAGTGAGCCTCCCAAGAACTCACACGTTATCTACCACAAAAGAAGAAAAGCCATAGACCATGTTAATTGAGGACTGGCAAAAAGTCTTATCCAGTGTAATTGTGGTGTCATTACATTCTTACACGTATTCATATAAGACCCTTGGTTATTAAGACACCGTGTTACAGTATCATCTATTGCCTCATCGCTACACATGGATCCGGTTAGATGAATGTCCACAAATAATGTCAAAGACTTTGCTAGGGGGGAAGCCCATCATGAGAAGGTTCTCTGATTTCTTGAGTTCTCTTCAAGTTGCAAGAATGATGATCATGTTGGTAGAGTCACCCATCTGGATTTAAGTTATAAAGTAGACAAGAAATAAGGTGGAGAAGGACATACCTCAGACTCTTGAACTTGTGACACAATGACAAGGAGCTTGGCTGTTGGGTGATCGACTTTGTGGTAGCGGCATCGGATGCTACGAAAAAGTCGGCCAATGTGATTTATCCTGCCCTAACAGAGTCAGGATAGACATATCTAAGCGCAGGATATGTACCATTAGCGTTGCTGCTGAAAGGCATTGGGAGAAAAAGGACGTGCAGCATGGATTGCATGATGGACGTGGTGGATTTTGTGAGAAGATGGAGGAGGGGCTGCCAGTGGGGGAACATATGCCTGAGGAATCATCAGAATTTATGGAGTCAATGTCTGTCTTTGGTATTTGCCCAAAGGACACACAGGAGGTAGTAGATGATCGTGGGTGTGTGAGTGAAGATGTTAGCATCCAGTGTGGTACGCAGTGAGAAAGTCGTGGAGTAGGATGGGGTGATGGGATGACACTTACAGGGGCGTGCCTGTGGAACCAAAAGATAGAATGTGCCCTGCTGGTATCTTTTTTCTGACCACTTTCATCAATACATTCCAACACATACAGTCCTCTCCAGTCACAACCAGTTCTTACTGGGGGTGACGACTCAGCCGTGAGGGTTAGTGTAACATAGAAACTCCAGTGATGCGGAGAATATATCGGAAATCAAATTATTACCGACTGAAGATTGACTGAAGATGTGTCTTGTTTATGTTGCTGGAACTGAGAAATGGTTCAGACAGACGCTGATCAATATCTACTAAGTCGTAGCATACCTTCATGGCCATCAGAGTTGCAACAGTACTCGAAAGCAGTAATACAGTTAGCTTATTTACTATTTCTTAAGCGCATTCCCCAACCTAACCTCCTTCCTAGTGATCCTTTGTTGGGTGCTGATTATACTATTCAGTCCAAACAAGTCGACACATTCCGGTATGGGATTGTATTATGTAGCTCAATCGAAACCGACTGAAGCTGGTGATCAAACAGGGATAAAGTGTACGGTAATTGGGAGGGGATCGTGCACCCATCAGGCATCATGTACTATTTTTCCTGGAAGACGGTGGTGAAAGAAATAGTAGTCAGCTAGATATACCAACTAACTTACTAAATCCTAATGGGTGCGAGTGCAGTACTTCAACCCAAGGGGACTGCTATTGAAGCACTTCCTTCTAATAGTGCGAGGGAAGAGAAAGGAAGAAACTAAGATCTAAGACCTGAGATATCCGACCGACCGAAGGTCCAAGTCCGAGAATGTCCGACGCGATATGGGATACCGATGGTACACCCGACGTGAGATACCATTGAAGGACACCGACGTGAGATACCGATGAAAGACACCAATGCAAGATACCGATGTGAGGTGAGGGGTCCGATGCCGATGAGCGGCAGGTAAGTCTAGGCCGAGGTAAGGAGAGTCCAGGTATAACTAGGTATGACGAGGTAAGACTAGGTATGGGTTGCCGACGTAAGACTACCGGTAGTGGTCCGAATCTCACAAGGCCTAGGTAAAGAAACCTTGGCTAGAGTGCACTTAGAGCGGTCAAGGCACGTCCAATGATAAAAGCAAGGGGGATCAATTGCACAATCAAAGACTAACTAAGGTGACTCCTACAATGGTACCAGGAATGTCCGAGGAAGGGAAGTAAGGGATAATATGAACTCGAGTCCTATTTATCTAACTGCGTGAACGTCTGGAATCGCACAGGCGAGAGTAGTAGCAAAACACGAGGTACTCAGGTCTATATGTAATGAGGCTTGCGAGTGCTGCGGCCATGGGAATACATGTAATAATGCCTGCTGTTCATTCAGTAACGGTAAAATAAGCTTAAAACGCACCAATGGAGATAGGTGGACATGGGCAGGACATGGGAGGATTCGGTACTGATGGGACGGAATGGTCGGCCAAGGTGCGCAATGGCCGATCCGACGAGCAGGGGACGGTTTTAGACAACCCTGGCTCTTCTGCAAGAGACCGAGACCATGGATCCATATTGGCCGAGTCGGACATAGACCGGCACGACATAGGTGAGTTGAGTGAGTTGAGACTTTGCAAGGAAGTGGTGTATGGATGCGATGTGGATATCTAGGCTGCTTGACTCCTATAGCGAAATGGGGTTCTGCGAGGCTAGCCCGAGCTTGAACACCACAACGGTAAGCAACACATGATCATCCATATTCAACTCAGTGTTTCTTACGATTGTACAGAAGACATATACAGGAACCGACATAAAGAGGTGCTTGCGCAATCGACTGCATAACCTGAATAATTGGATACACGCAGCACACAGAAGACTGCAAGAAGATACGTGGTTCCTGGTCATTGAACCTGTTGCAAAGCAGGACAGGGATCACTATGAATATTATTGTGCAGACACAAAGCAGCACGTCATTGCTTGGTTTGATGTGTTTGATGCAAGTCTGCTTTTTCAGGAGTGTGGGCTTGCACGTGAGTGGAATCATAAACGTAAGTTACAATATCCTGCCAACATACATCATGCCGTCCAACTCAAATACATAGGTCTTGAGCTCGAAGCACAATTTTGGTAAGAAACATTGGTTTATAAATAACACCGCTTGGACATATAAATCAGGAAGCATGTCGATTTCTTTCCACGTCATTACAAAATGAGGCCTTCTGATGCAAATGAGCTACAAGCTCACTTGGAATGGTTTTTAGCAGGTAAGACATCCAGGTGCATATGTCACAGAACTGAATTAAATACACATTATAGAAGGACTGACCTTAGAACAATCGACAGCAGCTTCATTGTTTCAGAATAATGAGCAAATGGAGAAAATAATATCTTGTATCATTAGATTCGGTACGTCACTCGAATATGATAGCGCTTTATTTTCGGATGGAATCGCGCAGAGTCTCATCTTTCGTCCAACAATTTAATGACAGAGCAAGGAGTAGCATTTTGCGGTATGTTTGCTTTGCCCATTTATACAGCGACATAAATGGAACCTACCCCTAATAATTATAGGAAGGATATGGAGCATATTACGTAGGAATTTCGCAACTGACACAGCTGAAGTTTGGCATTAACTTATAGGATTCTGGATAAGGTCATCATCAATTTTTAAACTACTACGGTTTACCGGAAGCTCGTTTGATGTGGTCTCACTCCGTAGAAGGCTTCAAGCGAAAGCAATCTCTCCCCCTTTACTGGAGACTGCTGCAATGTTCAGAGTGCCCACACTTGTTTTAGAACATATAGAAAATATCCATGTCGACGATATTGTCAACTTGTTGGATATCAGGCAGTTCGTTGACCGTTTCAACGACGATAATGTGAAACACAGCACTTTGGTACGCGCATTTCCCTATATTGAAATCAGAAAGCTGTGCAAATTTACATCTTCCATTATCGAGGCGGGTGTTATCATGGCGGTGGATGCTAGCATACTTGCTATTCCGGATATCAGATATCAAGTGATAACAAGGACACTATGTTCTCTTTCACTCATTTTCAGTGTCCACTGCATACTTGCAGGTGTCGCTGCTCAACACTTCGGTGAAAAGATGAAGTCTCTGGAATTTGCAGTATGTGTAATCCTACTAGGATTTTCTCTCTATGCTGATTTGATGCTACATGTAGTCTCAGCATCTCAATGACAATCGTACCAGAGTTGCGGTCATTTACAGTGCTCCCTCTTTCTTACGGACCACCAGGTAATCAACTCGTCACAAGGCATATAGATGACGTTGATCGTAAGCCAACAGCATGGCTTTATCTACTCTAGGCTTTCTCACAGGAATATTCGCAACCCCAAGTCATTCGTTAATGACGACAATTCCATGCACGATCGCCGTCACCATCCTAGGAGATTTCTTCTTCTGGTCTTCAGCCATCATATTTCATCGAGATATGAGATACAGAAGCAGGTCAATATATTAAGTGTCTATGACATAAATCATGAGTTCTAGACGTCATAATGATAAGTATACAGGTATGGAACATAATGCAGGCACCAAGCTGCCAGAACGTAACTACATTCTGCATAACTTCATGAATACAGATACAGAGATAGCTTGATACAAAGGCAGTTCTACATAATGTTGGGTATAAACCATGCCAATTAGTAGGGTGGAGTGACTGTCAATGTTCTACAAAACCCATAAGCACGTCTTCTATGCAAATAATTCCTCCAGAATGAATATTGAAGCTGAGCTCTGAGATCAGGCCTGTAAATAGTTATTGAAAAGTCTCACATCAGGTAAATCAAAACAGACTCACCCTACATCTCATAAACTTCGCAATCTTGGCGACATAAACGCATCCCCCTCATACTTTGTGCCAAGACGACTGAGCACAGCTGCTCAGGTGGTCAAGTCCACGATTCATAGACGATGACATATCACTTGAAATGTTCGTCTTGACAGCAATTAGAAGCTGAGTGTTTATAACGACCTCAAAAATGTCACGCTGGTGCTTCAGTCTGTTGGAAAGTGGCATACGTACAGAACATGTAACAAAAACTTACAACAAGTTGTTCTCCTTCTCTCTTTCGCGCACCGACACTGTTTGAAAAAAGACTATGCGCCATCTATTTAAAATCGGAAGGGTTGTGATATTCTAGCATGTAAGAATGTTCAGATCAATACAAAACTTGCCTGATAACAGTGGAGAAACAGCTGAGCAGTCATCATTGTACGCAGGAACAATACAATTTTCAGACTTGCACCAGAAAGATTGGCCCGATCACACCAAATGAGTCTTGAGAATATCAAGATGGTCGCCCAGTTATGAGGGAAACAGCTAAACCAACATCAAGGGACACAGCGCATAAGTCTCAAAAATGTGGAGAGTCCCACAAAGATAAGATTGTCTAAGAGTTGAAAATGTCCACCTCCACTTGGTTCAAGATAACAGCAATTGTGGAGCATATCCTTCCAGATGCTTGGGAAAGGGTTGGCAAGCCGGTAGACAAGCCTATCCAGCTGTACAACATTTCATGCACTTGTGCTAGAAAAGAAGGTCCCATGGATTTATTTGAGGAGAATCACCTGGGTTCATTGCAGACATTTTAGTTGGGCTGACGTTCATGGGGGTTATATTGAGCACCCTTGACAGCGACCTCAGACAGCTTCGCCCGAGTTCCCTGAAGGACTGTCAAAGAAATCAGATGGCTGAGAAGATGATGATGAGCTGAAGTGCTCGCTGACCTACGCGCAGACCTCATGGGTCTCCTACCGGCATCTGAATGGGTAGTACAGTCTTGTGGCCGAGAAGCCGGATCTTAAGTTGGTGGCTCAGAACCATGACTTGACCAAGTCGCACACGGCATGGATATCACCATTGGGGCTGCCACTCGTTGGAGAGTAGGTAATGCAAGCTGAGCCTACACCAGACAATTTAATTGTACGCTGTGCATCCATTCGCATCGCCCAGTTGGATCGAAATCGACCCTGTCATTTACAGCAAGATGGATCCAGCTTTCTCATCCAGAGTGAAAACAGGGCATTCCAGCTGCTTAATTTGTAAGCATCGTTGTTGTCTGAGTACGATATTGTAATTTGTTGGCTTCAGAGCTCTTTAGATGCACTGGGAGCGTCAAGTCATTTGATTTGTTTGTCCTTGTTTGTTCAGAACATCCCCAAGTCCATATTTCCATCCTGGCGTTCATTTTATTGGACCTCAAGGTAACATTCGACTTGACCACAAGCTACTTTACATCTGAAGTTTAGAGTTTTAACAGAGGTATAATTTCTATCTGGAATAGGGTGCACACAATTAACTGCTGATTCCCTAGGCGACTTAAGTCTCAGAGTGGCCTATCACCCCCGATAATGATATCCATCATGCCGTGTGTGGCTTGGTAAAGTCATGGTTCAGGTTGCTCCCAAGCCTGTCTTCCCATCATCGCCCTATTTCAATGCTATCGAGGCAATGAGTAAAATCCATTCCATTGATGGTCTTTTTTCCAATGCTCATGTTCTTGGAGAGCTCAAGAATCTTAACTCGCAGCTTACCTGTATCCAGAGTTGTGCATGGGCTTCCTCAGGCCAACTTTGACCTTTTGAAAATATCCATAGGTGAGTTTTTGTGCTTGTTTCTTTCGTCAGCTGAATTATATCGACACTACTACTCCAGAGTAACTGACTATAAGGAACACAACCGAATGACAGCTGAAGTCCTGGCAATTGTTTTCAACCCCAACTTCCTTCGTACACCACAAAGTGCCTTTGCTCTAATCTTGCCGAATATGGGACGTATACCCACAAACTCATGAAAGCCCTAATCACTCATGTATGTAGTGTGACACCATTCATCATTCCTTCACTGCAGTTCCAGGTAATCTTTGATGACGAGCTTGCAGCAGACTACGACATAGAAGGAGGAGCCTATCCTCGAGGAGGACGAAGAAGATAAGATAGACTCCAGCTGCGTGCGATGAGTCATAGACCATGGACGTTCCTGTATACAGTCACACCTAAATCCCCACCATCTACAATGGACTCCTTGTCGTCATAATCCTTTTGCATTCCGTTCTATGGGTCACCTATGACTGTTTGTGGGTATCTATCATGGACATTGTACAGTACCACTCCCCACAGTATTCTCACTGCTCATTCTGACGTTCTTTTTGGCTTCATCAATTTTTATTATTCCCATTACTTGACTTTTCCAGTTTGCGCAAAATGTCTGTAAAGCAGTCTCCACATTCCCAGTAGCGCCATCCTAATCTTCATGCCAGTTACTTGCTTGTTAAGAGACTTTGGGTCCTCCTGCGGGTTCACTCATGATGGTGTTGTCGATGCTGAGTACGGATACGATGGCTTCTGTTGCAAGCTTGATTGCCCACTGTTTTGTGGCTAATGAGTTGAGAATCTTGAGGTTGGTAGCTAGCAGCAGTGTGGCACATCTTGTTCAGCCTGGCATATGATAAATCAAAGAGTGATTATATAGAACTGGTGAACTTCACCTCAATATCGACACCCCAGGTTTTGCCGCCCTTCTGTTTGTGCTTGGCCCACAACCAACTAAGAATCTCGTTACCCTCGGCACCTCCCAGCGTGTTCTCAGCAAGTGTTCAGGTATGACTTCAAGTGCTGTAGCATACAGCTTCACACTGTCCATCTTCCGATCCATCAGGTCTCCAAAGATGATTTCCTCAATATACGTTCATTGGGTATCGGGTTTCGCCTATTATCCCGGACCAGTCAAAATCAACCAACTTGAATCCAGGGCTGTGGTCCTTTTTGACCATAACATTTGTGTTCCGAATGTCTCCATGAACATAACTTTCTTGATGAAGAGATCGGAGTCCCGTAGCAAGTGCATCGTGATGAGGGTAAGGAACGGGAGATTCCCCGAGACAACAGTAATCATCTGTGATCATCTCCATCACAATCATGTACCATCTGCCTGGCAGCTGTTCAAAGCCGAGGAGTGCTGGAGCAAAGCCGCTGGAAGCACATCATTGATGTACTTCCTTAGAGTAGTGACGGACAAACTTAATGCAGAGCATCTTGTCATCAGTCGTCTTGATGGAAAAGAGTAGTTTGGTAGGATACATTTGATCGCAGTACGTGAAATGACACGTCAATGATGTCTCGATGCAAGTGAAAGAATACGGGTATGGAAACCTGGCCCATCTGGAAATTTGGAGTCCAGAAATTTGAGGTGTTCATCAGGAGAAGGGAACTTAGTGTTTGATGTCAAGCTCTCATAACATGCCACGAGGACCGAAGAGCTTTCCTTGATCGTGATATGTTACTGCACTGCAGTAAATTATCCTAAAATTCTAAGTCCTGGTGTGTGGTGGTGCACAGACATGCCAATTTGCAGATTGAGGAGTAAAACTTCTATGGTGAGTGTACCAAATTCACCACCATCCTTTTGGGTATGAGAAGGCAGCAGATACTTCTCATCTGTCATATACCATATTCCCGGGTACAGATCCGAAGATCCGGATCTCAGATCCGATCCAGATCCGATGTACATATCCGTCGTCCGGTCCACAGATCCGATCTAATCCTTGTTTCATGTCCTGTTCATATAACTCTAACTATCGTTCATCTCCTTTCGGCATTCCTGTACACCGGTATACCGGTTATCCTTTACTTCCGTTATGCTTACTGATCCGCTACACTTACTGATCCACTTTAGCTTAGACTTCATTCCCGGTTATGATTCGTTATCCATCCGACTTACCGATATGCTGTACACATACTTTGCTTATACTTCGTACATAGCCTCGTGTCCTTGCTTATTGATCATTCTGTTAGTTATCCGTAGTATATAAACCCTTGTACATGCGCTGTAGTAGATCAGTTCGAATATCATCTTAGATTGCACTCATTCTGTCTGGACTCTAAGTCCCTCTGTTATCCGTCTGGACTTGAGTACAATACTCTTGTCTACTCCGAGACTTAGGATTGATTCCTATAGTCTATATATCCATCTCTGTCTTCGGACAGTCCTCGCCCGTTAGTTTCTAGTTCGGATCCGATCCGGATTAGCCGTTACTATATACGTTCGATATCTGGAAGCCTTAACATATCCGTTATGAGACTTATCCGTCTCAATATACGCGATACTCTAGCACTCTGAAATAAGGGGCAAGACTCGGGAAAGGGGCACAGCGCACGAGCTGAGGCCGAAGCCCTTCGGATCCGACACTACTTGAGTATGGTCTTAACATCATCCATCATGCGGACAGACAGTTGTCTGAATATGTTATATAGGTCTAATGTCAGTCTGGCTCATGTGAACTTCAGACTGACCTCAGACTGACATAACTCAAAGGGAAATAAGCACATGACCCTTCATGCCATTTCTATTGCCTTCAATGAGTTTGCTTCAAAGTGTGTATCGTATGAGTACCTACAGATATACTAACATGCATGTCAAAGATGGGATGGGCTGCAGCTTGGGGGCTGACGGCACTGTTTCGCTGGCAGCAGGAATGAGTGCAGGTGGTGGAAGGGGTGCACCTGGGGGATGTGAGTCGAGAAATCGAGCCGTTGTTTTGTCAAAAAAATCAGTTTCGTGGTAGACAACAAAAGAGAATAGAAAAGTGTCACCTCTCTTTGTGCGCCGTGAACCTTTTGTTATTGCGATCACACCAAGCATGCCTTCCATATGAGTGACCTGCTCCACTCACTCCAATATCCATCCACGTGTGTATCACATTGGTTTCCTTGTCTATATGGAACAGCACAAACTTGTTGCGTGGCTCCATACAGACAAAGAAAATGATGTGCGTCCCTGACTTCCACGGTTAGTGGGAGCAGAGCTTTTTGAACACAAATGTCCCTCTACATTTCTGTGCACCCAACTGTACAGATCATCCAGTGACTCCTGAGTGGCTGAACCCTCTTGACTACGGAAACTCGGACTGTTCATTTTGTGAGAATCTGCTGACTATGGAAACTCGGACACTTGTGCTCACTGTTTATTATTTTTGAGACTGTTGTAAATGCGTGCTGGCATCAAATGCGCAGACTCAGTATTAGATGTTCTATACATACAGCAAACCGGGAGGGAGGCCGTGCCTGAGGTTCTCGATGGAAGACTTTGAGAGTACATGAATGATCCCCTGTATGATGTGCGTGGGCTGACTGTGCATGACATGTCAGTTACGGATCTCATTTACATGGGGTGAGCTGCCTGACATTTCCTGCCGACAAAGCCCGGATCTCTGCAAGAACTGTTTTTAAGCACCTGTAAGAACTAAATTTGATCAATTGATCCACCTTTGGATAACTATGATGAAATTTGACTGACCTTCCGACGGACTGACTCGTATGAACTTCAGACTGCCAAACTATAGATGCCAGCCTGACTCGTGTGAACTTTGGACTGACATAAGACTGACATTAAGTAATACTTGGGCAAACCTGAAGTTCTTGATTTGATGACTCCACACTCGCTGTCTTCAAGCCTTTTGAACTTAAAATCGCTAGGTATGCTTATGCCAGGGTACGCACTGTCTGACTCATGATCATATTGACTAATCTACATTGACTGGCATGTATAGAGTGCTGAAGGATTTTGTTTCTTCTTGCTCCAGGAAACTTGATTATTCTTAGTATATCTGCTGGTTGTGTACTAGTCACTCGCAAAAAATCGACATTGCCATCATGCAGAATCCCTGGCTTCTCATTGGCTGGACTGCCAGTCCGTATCACTCCCAAACACATTTCCATATCGCCAGGCAAACGAGGTACATTTCGTGTTCACTTGTTAGTCCAAACCATGTTGATTTCCCAGAATTTTCTATTTGGATTTGATTTGATTTGCCTCACGGTAACCCTGCCCGTTGCTGTGGATTGCTCCACACTAACTACCCAGACAGTATTCTGATGCATGCTCAGTTGAATGTCACACCTCCTCAACCATGTTTTCATGTGATAGCTGGCTTGACATGGGTGTCACCCAATGCCTCATTGGACCTGTTGGACTTGAATGCACTGGAACACTGGATTGGTCCTAGGGCTGAAAAATCAGTCATGCCCTTTGACAGCCTACAGTATCCTGACTGGTATGCCAGGGAGAAACATTGGCACCCATGGGTACCACGCAACCCGGATGGATTGTGGTAGCACCAACCCTCCCAGGACCGCACATTTCGATCCTTGAACGATGACGTCAGAGTCAAACAAGAACTTTCAGCCATGGCCAAAATTCTGGGTGTCATATATAGGCATATCCAACTGGAGGGCCCAAGACCTGATAATGTGTATCTCATCCATGATCTGAATTTTGGCCTGCCTTATCACGAAGACCATGCCTGTAGATTCATGCTTCCACCAGTGGCTACATCCACTGGCTGAAAGCTCACCGCCCACATGATGTGGATAGATACCTGAAGAAACATCTGACATCCCGGGATGCTGAGAGCATGCTGGCCTGGGGGCTGTATCAGCCAGGAGGTGCAGGTGTCATTTTGGACCTGATGCGGGACCAAAGAGAAATGAACATCGGGTTGTACCTGCGGCACAACATTCCAGTCTATTACCCTTGGACCTTTTCTGTGGCTGCCGACAGCACATTGTACCACCTATCTCCCTCCCACTTGTTATCACGGGATGATGATTGTGAAACATTCTCAAACCCACCCCAGATGTCGATTTCTTTTTACAGCCACTGCTGCCTGGTAAGAGGGGTTTAGCCTTGACAGCCCAAAAACCACCTCCCTTGATACGTCAGGTTGTGGATTTCCAGGGGTGGAGACCCAGATCCATCACCAGGAAAGCAGGCCGACATTGCTTCCAGTTATTTTACTTCAAGGAACATCTGGTGGATGATGGTCAGACTCAATCATATCGTTGCATCTTTCATAGATTTAGACCACACGTCTCACCAACACAAGAACATCTGGTCACAGATGTTTGTATCCAGGAGAGATGGAAGTTTGATCACGCCCCTCCTGCCAGCCAATTTTATGACACAGCAACCCAACAGACGAGGACTGCTAAACCCGCTACCCCTGTGTCAGCACCATCACCAGTGCACCCCTCATGGGGCCTGATGATCCCCCCATTACCGCACGAAGACACTGGGTGCCAGGGTCCAGCCCGATACAAAGCAAATGATCCGGCAGCCGCAGATTCTGAACAATGTATGAAAGGCATTGTTGTTCAGGTAGGATTTAGGGAGTCATGGTGGCCAGGATGCGCAGACACCTGAATTTCGTTTTGAGGCTGCCGGGACCAACTTCATGTACCTCATGACGGCAGTTTGTGGTTGGCCTAGGGCCTGTCCTGGATAAGTCTTCGGGAATGTACACTTAGGTGCCCAGTTGTGGGCATTGAAATGGATTTGGCAACGGTCTCAGCACCCAGGTTTTCAGGCAACCTGGGAGGTCTTCCGCTCGCCCTCAATCCTCAGCTATTAGTGGCACCTGGATGTTGTTATTTTGTACAGAATATATTTCATGCCAGTGGTTATTAGTGTGATAAGTCAGTAAGCAATGTTTCACCATATCACACACTAATAGAGTTCTCAAAACATTCTGTCACCTGCCAGATATCTTGAGCCTCAGCACCGGAATGAAGCAGAAATCATGTCAAGGAATTTTGGGGGCAGAAGGAGTAAGGAACTGGTGTCTGCCGCTGATATGATTTCAATTTGTACCCCACGGGATGCAAGTATTTTTCTGAGATGGTGGATATTCTTACTATCACCCAAAAATATACAGAGACTGCTCGTCACATAAATCCAGCAGACTCTGTGAGAGATGGAAGATCCATCAATTCAGGGTGTGCTTCTAACACCCACCACTAGTGATTTAAAGTCCGGTCCGGTCTGGTCGTTTTACCATATTTGGGAGGCAACCGGACCAGACCGGTCTTTTTATTCCCATGATATCAAAAAAACTGGACTGGACTGATAAAGACCGATATTTTTGGTCTTTATTGGTCCTACAACCGGTCCGGTGGCAGTGTACCACTTACTCCTGCAATTCCAACGGTGCTTTATTTGTATTAAACGGTTAAGATTTGAACGAGATATGAGCATTTTAAAAAAAATTACCAAACTCCGCCCCACAAGTGAGTCAAATATGAAATGTCAAAAAATAAAAGTTGTTAGAAGGCTTAGGTGTCTCGATGCTAACTGTAGCCCTAGTATAGACGAGTATATAGCTGGTCTTGCCTTGTCAATTGATTATGATTTGATCTAGTTAAAAGCTAAGATATAAATCATCCCATTAATTTGCAGCTTTTTCTTGTAAGTCTCATAACTTTATCAAATCTTAACCGTTTTACATGATCAAACCACCATTAAAATTGCGCTGACTGAGTGCTACATGTACATAGCAACCGGTTTCCCAAAAGACCGGTCCTTTGATTTTTTACAAACTTTGGGCAACTGGACCGGACTGATCTTGCAACTGGAAAAGACTGCAACCGGTCCTGCTTAGGACCAGTTGCGGTCCAGTCCGGTTGCCGGTCTTTTTGCGGTCCTGCAACTGGACTTTAAAACACTACCCACCACACATCATCTGGATCGTATCAACTAGCCATGGTTTCTACCCCTGTGCTGTATCATGGTAGGTTTGGCTGGGAACCTCTGACAATACTGCTAACACACCTGGATTGCAGGAGCCAGGGTCTTGCGTGAGTTCCAGTTGCCCATACTAGACACCCAGCCAGAATTTCAGGCTCAACAAGAAGTACAGACTGAATCTGCCCCAGCGATGAAATGGGACATGGAACCCAATGCACTCACTGAAAGCTTTCTTTGATCGATCTGAGCACACTTCATGTGCCCCATGTGAGCAATTTAACGGATCTCAAGGGATTGACCTATTCATGTTACAGTCAGATGTTGGGAAGTCCTGTCAGCGTCAAGGTCCTGATATAATCATTGCAGCCAGCTAATCCTAGCTTAGTGTGGCTCCGGTGACTTACTGCCCAGAGGGGCATGCAGTCTGTGCATATTGCTTGCTGCAATCAGCCTTGTACCGAGGCTTTGATACATGTCTGATCTGTCAGACAAAGTCTTCGGTTCCAGGAAATTGCCCTTTCATCTACATATTTGAGGCAGACCCAGGATGCTGTGGTGTTCTTGATGGAAGGAATTGCAAGGGAGTTTCGTGATGCTGCTGCTGAATATGGGGAGCCTCAGGATGAGGAGTTGAGGTCCTACGCCTGTGGACCTATATGGGATCATTAGAAACTTTGATCCAGGTGATCTCAAGTCCCACTTGATACCATTGTCGTGTAGGAATTCTTCTGACCGGTGGCACAGGGTTGGTTCAACTATTTTGCATGAAATTCGGCAAGTTCGTCAGGAAGTAGACTTCGTGGATGTTGGCCGTGTGGTTTCATGGGCCCGTGGCCAGTTGGGAGCCTCAGCCCCACCTCCATCCGCGGCTGGAGCCTCATCCTGGCTTCCCATGTAAGACAGTATCCCAAGTTTATGTGATATCAAACTCATTCACTACCAAGCTAGCATGCTTGATTAATTGCTTCCCATCTGGAGGCAACCTCTTACAGATACATCTATATCCAGCCTATCACAATCCTTCACAAACTGTAAGCCACGGTCAAGCTGTCACCATCCATCAGTCTTGTAACAACCGTGCTGCCATTCTCCCAATTAATAAGGACTGTATCTATGGAGCTGAAGAGCTTTGGGCTTGCATGCTTATACCATCATGTCACGCATCTGATGATCATTATGTTCATTAATAAAAATTGCTCCGCAAGGCTGTGGTTTGGTCGGTACTACCGAAACTGGTCTCTAGCAATATGCAAACCTTGTGGAAAATATTTGTGGTAAAAATGCTTCCTGCAAAGTACTACCAGCATGAATGGTCTTGTACTTGTATCTGCTCAGCTGTGATGAGGTGATGGGCATTAATATTGAATGGCTGTACAGGTAGCGGGATGGAAGAATCCTTGCATTCTGCAAGTGATAGCTGGTATTGTAGATGCATCCTGTGAGTCACTATTGATAATCACTCGTATGGATCATATAGTCGCATGTTGACTTAGAACATTTCATTTCATGGGTGGCGCCCTTCCACGGGCACCTTGTATCAGGATGACTACCTAGACATGTTCTAAAGTAGCAAAGATACCACCTGTTCTGTATTCAACACACAAATTTATATGGTGATCTGACGGCGATGTTGAGAAGCTCAGAATTATGGATTGAAATTTCAAGTGAAGGCGCATTAAAGTTTAACTGCTTATGTAAAGTCGATCACCACGACCAGAACTTCAAAAGTAACCAGATTGAATCTGAGTTTGAACAACATTTATAATAATTGTCAACTTGTACACAATCATCTGCTATCGACCATATCCATAACATTATTTACCATGCACAAGCTATGTCACAATGTAAGTTTAGGGGGAGCACCTCTCAGAGGCCTCTCCTGAGGGTTTTGAAATCTTCCTTTCTTTCTTTTGTCCATGTCACTGCGCCCTCATTGGGCCGGTGGGACTAGCCTTGGGGGAGCACCTCTCAGGGGCCTTTCCTGAGGGTTTTGACTACTTCCTCTCTTTCCTTTGTCCATGTCACTGCGTCCTCATTGGGCCGGATGCTGCTGTGCCATTGTCCCGCTCTCAGATAGTGTGTGATCTCGTCTTTTGGCCTGCTTACCTGAAGCTGATGGTGCCGCAACCATGTCTTGCTCTCAGCCTGTGCGTGATCTTGTCTTTGGAACTGCTTACCTGATACTGACAGTGCCGCAGCTGTGTTATGCTCTCAGCCAGTGTGTGACCCCGTTTTTGGCCCACTTATTTACGCTGATGGTGCCATGGCTGCGTCCCACTCTCAGCCAGTGCATGATCTTGTTTTTTTGAGTTGCTTACCTGATGCTGATGGTGCCATAGCCGTGTTCCGATAACTGGTGTTCTTGCTTACTTGTTCTCATTCTTGTCTGCTCTCGCTTGCTCATATGTACCTATAGTGCACCCCAATGACTAGTATCAAATATTCTTTGTAATCTGTACTTACATAGACATAACTTTGTAACATTGTGTTAGTTGTGGACAATTGTCATTAACTTGTGCTAGACTATAGTTCCTAGAGCTAACTAGCATTAATTTTGACAGCTTTCTAAAATCTGTCTAAATAGCTCTAAGTTAGCATGGGAAGGTTTTCCTGATGAAGTCAGTCCAAAGGTCAGTCTGAAGTTCACACAAGTCAGTCCAAAGGTCAGTCTGAAGTTCACACAAGTCCCTTGACTATGCGGCCAAAAAATCCCCATTCTGCCATTTCAGACGAGAGAAACTCGCCACTGCCTCTCCCCTGTGCAGGCCATGTGGTCATCACAAATATTACGGAGCGCTCAGCTTACATGACGTGCCTGATTGAACATCAACTCAAAATTTCAGGCGGAGTCTCAACATGGGCAGGAGGTTCTCTAAGTTCCAATTTCAACCATACACACACAGATGGACACTCCCTTGGGTGATAACACTGTCGAGCTACACGGTCCCCACAGGTTGGCGATTTTGTGAATCTCCAGTGGGGTAGCCCAGAGTATCCGATGTTTCTGATGTGGGATGGTCTATCCAACCACAGGCCTATCGTCAGACACTCCCTTGGGCGATAACGCTGCCAGGTTGCACAGCCCCCACAGGTTGGTGATTGTGTAAATCTTCAGTGGGGTAGCCCGGAGTATCTGATATTTCTGATATGGGGTGGTCTTTAGGACTGTCACCAAAGCTAGACACCTGGCAGATTTTAGACGCCTCCATTGTTTTTGCTTTCTCTTCTCCCTTCAGGGTTGACTGTGGGTGTCGGGTATGTGATTTTTTTGGGTGTGCAAATACATTCCATGGGGCTGACAATGTCTGGCCCCGCACAAATGTTTGCATCACTGTCATGGACACCAGTCCTGGCTGACTTCCACCACTCCAGAAGGGTTCTTTCCCCAATGATGTTTTAGCATCTCCAAACCCTGACAAGGTGTGTTGACTCTGATGTCTTTCATTCTAACTTTCGTGTCTGGATCTTTTGGTCCTGAGTGGTCTAAAATATGTTGGGCCACAGGGCACCAGAAGACAGCTTTGTGATTGTTGCAAGTTTGGCACCTTGGAGGCTGAAATCCAAGTACCATGGCTGGTGCATACAATATCGCACCAGTGTTTTGTAGTCCCTTTGTTGACAAGTGGATCTACTTTTTTGTTTCATGTATTTATGTCTAACCCCTTTAACCAAGTGCAGTTGGGCCGATCTCCTTCCATGTCTATACACCAATGATTCTATGCAGTACCCATTTGTGAGGTTGCACAGTCACCAACTGATTTTTTCATGTGTATTGCGGGTTTGAATATTCCAAATTATGGCCATTTCCTGCTGTTGTTTTTAACCGGACAGGTGACAACAGTTGTAGGTGCACTTGTTGATATCATCAGGCTTGCTTCAAACACTGTGATCAACATTGTCCAACTCAGTAGTTCAACCGCAGACTTGACTGCCTGGCACGTGTTTTCAACCATATCTGACATCCAGGCGCATCAGCAACCTACCAGACTTTTGTCAATTGTGGAGCACCTGTGTCAGTGGGTGATGATCATGCAGAAATGTGTAATTTACGAGAGGGCAGCCATAAGGTCAAGTCGACATTAACAGCGACATCTTAGAATTGAATGTCCCTATAGTATACAACTTATGTAGCAACTGGCTGTGTGGAGATTAATAAAAGATGTGGATCCAACCACACAATCATTGAATCAGAGCCCACTCCTGCCGATTTGTGGTTATATAACTTGTGGTTGTCCACACTTCAATTCACCACCAACAGTCAGCTTTGCTTCAACTCCGGAACCATCATACTCCATCCATCATCTGAACAAACTAGTCAACCTGCATCCCATACTTAATGCCGAACCAACCCTCTGAACCGTCCCAAACCAAGGTTGCAAAAGCCAAAAGAACTTGGTGCCATGCCAAGAAACAAGACCCTACTGAAGCTGAGCAACTGAGGTTACAGCAGAACGAGCACAAACAAATATCGCGTGCAAGGCAGAAGCTTGCACAACAGGGGCTCCAACAGCCCTCTGCCAAGCGCTGCCGGGCTGTAACACCTGATGCAGACACTTCACACTCTGCACCAGGGTCTTTGTCTGGAAATACCGCTGGCAGTGAAGAACCTCCTGCCAAGTGACACCAGGCCACAATATGCAACATGGGCCCATCACACCTGGCGCCAGGGTCTTCATCCACTAATGTCATGCCTGACACCAATGGTCCCTCTGACATTCCTGATGATCAAACTGTTGCAGGTCCATCCGACCTTATCCCCGATCACGCAGCCACCCTGGTTAATCCTTCGGTGCCATCCCGTCTTTTCAGTCACATCTCTGTGGCCACTGAACCTTCCCCCATAACCCGTGATGTGGAGGTCATGACAGAGCTTCCCTATGCTGACCCACCCCACTCTGAAAACGACCCCACAGTCCCCTCAACCTCTTTGATCCCACTGGTTGATGCCAAGGACCTTGCAACCAATATCATTGGAGTAAAAGTGTCTGCACATTTGGAGACTGTGAAATGGTCCAGTGGATTCACCACTGTACTGCCATGCATATGGAAGGATGGGGTAAATATATGCCAAGACAATGCTGATACTGTTCGATATCTTTCTAAGCTTCCAGAATCCAATCCAGAGTCGTCGTCACATGTGGTTCACATACATCACTCTGATTGGATATCCAAACCGGTGGAATTGCACGATCTCATCTCATCTCACAGACGCTTCGTGAGGGCAAATGCATCATCCTTCGAGCATTGGAAAAACCTCAGGCAGCACGTCTGGATTTAGACTACCTGGAAGATTGAGGTTTCTCGCAGTTTATGCGTGTATCTATACATGGTCGGTCTTTTTCATTGTTTCATAGCTTCACATTTGAACTTATCTATGGTGATAGACGTAGAAGAGCGTACTAGGGATTATACGCATCCACAACTTGAAGGAACGATCGAAAACTTCCTGTGCAACTTATGTGACCCAAACTGCATACAGTTCATCCTGGACCTTCCATATACAGGGTGAGGCATCCCAGATCATTTGCGGTGGGTAATTGTTTTTTCTCTTCATAAACTCTCTAAACCTCTGTTTCCTTCAGGCAACTTGATCATGGGATAGCGCATAGATGGAATCAGACCACAACCGATTACCCTATCCAGGACAAGGTCCATCCTGACAATTTCCTCCTTAATGGGTGGTCCTTGCTCCATCAACCCGGTGTGACAATCATATTGGCGCTAGGCATGTATACCTGCATAAGCCTTCAATAGGTGGACCAAAGTTATCCCTCGCATTATTCACTACTCCCCTATCAGCAGTCTTCACTTGTCTCAGCCATAACCCTTGTCCGACGCTATTCCGCACTTTCCCGCACTATGCGCGCACATTCCCGCAGCGCTATTCATGCTCCCGCGACTTATCCGACGCTATTCCCGCGCTTATAGCACTATCAGAACTACCAGCAATGTGTCTATAGGAGCATTAGTGCATGTCCGCTCTACCTAGCACTTGTTCCCGCGCCTAGCGCTAGTCCAGCGCACTGTTCTCATGCTCTAGGAATCACTCAAAATGTCGGAATCTATCCATGGTCCATCCTACCTCATTGGTATGTAATTTGCCCTGCCTCGAGTTTGTAAAAAGTGCTACAGTCTTATTACATGTATATCCTATCCCTTCCGAGTCCAAGATGGTATAGTTTACTAGTATAAGAAGCCTATGGTGACTACTTCGACATTACTTCCCTTCGACTGTATTTCCTTCCCTTAGGTTTTACTTAGAAGTAGTCACCCCTTTAGTTGCGCTCTATGGCCCCTATTTGACTTTCCTTACCCTTGCAATCAATACCCTTGATCTCACTCGCTATCCATTACCTTCCTTTGACTCAGTGTCCGCTTTCTTGACTTCCGCTCTTTCCCACGCATTAGCGCTCTATCTTGTGACGCGCTATTCCCGCGCTCTTTCGGGTCTTTCGATCTTGAGTTGTCCTTAGCAGCTTTTCCCTCGGGTTGAACGTTCTTGCTTTATTGTTTGCAAGTATAGCAGCATAGGCAGAGCTTAGACATATACTGGCTTAGTACCTTGACAAGTGCCTAGTCAGGTTGTGTTTTTCACACCGGAGTCCTGACAAATTTCCACCACAACTGTTAAGACCGTACTCAAGTAGTATCGGATCCGAAGGGCTTCGGCCTCAGCTCGTGCGCTGTGCCCCTTTCCCGAGTCTTGCCCCTTATTTCAGAGAGCTAAAGTATCGCGTCTAGTGAAACGGATAAGTATTGCAATGGATCCGTTAAGACTTCCGGATATCGAACGTATAGAGTAACGGCCAATCCGGATCAGATCCGGACTAGAAACTAACGGGTGAGGACTGTCCGAAGACAGAGGCGGATATGTAGACTTATAGGAATCTATCCTAAGTCTCGGAGTAGACAAGAGTAGCGTACTCAAGTCCGGATGGATAACGGAGGGACTCAGAGTCCAGACGGAATGAGTGCAATCTAAGATGATATTCGAACTGATCTACTACAGCGCATATACAAAGGTTTATATACTACGGATAGCTAACGGAATGATCAATAAGCAAAGTCTAAGTGGAGTGTATTGGTAAGTTGGATGGATCACGAATCATGAACCGGGAATGAAGTACAAGTAAAAGCGGATTCGTAAGTGTAGCGGATCAGTAAGCATAGCGGATCAGTAAGCATAGCGGAAGTAAAGGATAACCGGTATACCGGTGTACAGGAATACCGAAAGGAGATGAACGATAGTTAGAGTTATATGAACAGGAAATGAAATAAGAATCAAAGCGGATCTGTGGACCGGACGACGGATATGTTCATCGGATCTGGATCGGATCTGAGATCCAGATCATCGGATCTGTAACTGGATATATGGTATATGACAACAACTCGGATGGAGGAGTCACCTTTGTACAGTCAGTACTGGGCAAAAAAGAAATGGATTCCGGCCTTCCTCAGAAATCCAAACATTTCGCGCACTAAATTCACTGAGCTTTCCTTACTAATGACAAACCTTCTCACCAACCATGCAGAGATTGAGGCCAACTGGTACATGGAGGTGGTCACTCTTCAGGAGGGGGATTTATTGTGAGTTTGATCAAACCATACATCTATCCTATCAGCATTAATGGCCCACCCCTACCAGTATACAACCACCCGGACAATACCATGCAGCCTATACACCCACTGAGTCGTTTGCCAAGGGAGCCCACTGTTTAAACCTAGAATTCTTGCATCGCAGTGAGCTATCCCGGTTTGTTGACGCGAAGAAGGGACATTTCCTCACCAATCAAGTTCACAAACACTCCCTGGAAACACTGGAGCGAATGGTCATTTATCTTCCATGGGCGTCTTGCCGCACCAGTAAGTGATGCACCATGATATTTCCTGTGTCAATCCTCTTATCATTATCACAAGGATTATTCACAAGGCCTCTCATCGCTCTATGCACTATGGTCATAGATTCTCATAAATATGTGGCTGTTGGTGCCAACAAGAAAAAAACGCTAAGGAGCACCACCAAACTGGCACTTGCGATTTCCAGGGTGATCATGAAATATTTCTGGAAGGACTTGGAGACAGCAAATTCAGTCTATCGGTTTGGCTCTGATAAACGCCGCAGCTCTCAGAGTCTAATGCACCTGGGAGAGCTTATTGACAGAAAAGAGCTGGCGATTTGCTTGAAAACCGTTGAAGGATCTTCAACTCAGCTGAGGGTGCAGCTGATATAATTGTTGAAGGGAGGAAAATATGAGTGCGATATGTTCGTCCCTTAGGGGAAGCGGAGAAAGCAAATATCCACTGGTCAACTCTAGGGGGAATCCGCAAAGCGCGGGAACAAAGGCGCTATAGGCGCGCGAAGCGCGGGAAAGTCGCGCGTCGAAAAGCGGAACTGGGTGAAAGCGGTATGCGAGCGATAGTGAGATGTTAAGACGTGTACTGAGATGCTGATAAGACAACTGATGCGGATATGGCCACTAGAGCTAACTGCTACTAGGGCTTGCGATGATTTATTCAAAACATAATAAAAACTCGGAGATGGTGACTGTCTATGATGATGGTGGTCCGTGGTAATGTGTGTTGTCTCCAGTAAAAAATGTGTAATGAAAAATGTGTACCAAGTGAAAATAAACATGGTACGATGTTGAAATAAATGATAAATGGAGAAATGCATACCTGGGAACTTGGTTGGACATGGGAAAACACAGTGGGAAGTCAGGCGCCCTATAGCGCTTAGGCGCGGGAAAGTTCGCCTAAAGCGCGCGCAAGTTGCGGAAGTGTCGCCTATGTCGCGGAAGTGTCGCCTAAGTTGCGCACGTCGCGCGAACGTCGCGTTTATCGCGCAAGTGTCGTGTTACATGCATGATACTGTAGACTCGACCTATGTTGCAATATGTGCCATTGTGAGGCTACCCAGGATCGAGTCTCTACACCGTTTACAGGATTCTAGTTGTGACCTTAATTTTATGTAACATCAAGGATACTGATGAATGTATATATTTTTCTGACTCTGGCTTGGGCTACATTTGAATTTGACCAATCGATCCACCCACGGATAACTGTGATAAAATTGACGACATATAGATGTCAGATTGACTCATGTGAACTTGGGATTGACCTTGATTAGAGACATAAAGAGACTGACTTGTGCCAACTTTGGACTGACCCTTTGGACTGACTTGTGTGAACTTTCTTGTGTGAACTTTGGACTGACCCTGTGGACTGACTTCGAATTCATAACATTGTCCTTTGTGTTCAAATTGAGAACTTCGGCTTCTTCTTTATCTACCGATTCCGCTGTTCTCGAAAGTGAGTTTTTCTCTGCTGACTTCCATGCCTGCGCTTCCAGAGGTCCATGTGCGCCTTTCCATCCAAACAACCTTGTGTTACTGGACGTGTCTTAGAACAGCATAATTGTCCACTTCATGATGTTTTTCATGCTGTTGAAAACTACCTACTCTACTATGATGCATTATACTTTCCTGAATTACAGCTGTCTGTTTATGCCTCCTCATGCTTATTCTGCTCGTGGTTACAGAGTGCCCTGAGTTCTCACCCTACCCTTTGTCACACTTGCCCTCGGTTCCGCTCTGATGTGTCTGTTACATTGGACAATGTCTCATTTTGTGTTGAAATTGAGGGCAAGCACAGGATTTTTGGATGTCGACATTTTGAATCTCACTGCACTGTCTCTCGAGTATTTTGTATTCCTCCTCCCAAAGCCCCCCAATACAGCCTCTTGTGTGGTTTTGCACTCACACGACGATCCTCCATGGTTCCATCATGCTCATGAATTCTATGAAGAAAATTTGCACGGTCTGTCAGCTTCAGTTCTGACTACTACTGCACACAAGGATGTTCGCAAGATCACAGGTGTTTGTACCAAGGGAGCCGCAATCTCCGCGATACTCTCTCACTTCTCGTCGAGATGTGCTGAGTTATCTTTGCAGATAACTTTGCCCTATGGCAGTCCCAGAACACGCTGCTCCATTATTTCTGCTCATTTCTGTGACTTGTATTGTGAAGATATTACCTACACCTTACGCATCCCTCCACTTATCACCTGTTGTCGATTGGCGGTTCTCCTTTGACACTGCCCTGTGCATTGGATGTACCTTGGATGAACTCTGCAGTGGGCTCTGTGCCCTGGATAACACTGACATCTCATCTTGCATTCATCAGCTGCCAGTCTCTGTACGTGCTTTGGTGGACACACATTCTCGCCGAAAGTCGTGTAATGGTGTTGCAAATGTGCTACATCAGTGCGTTTGGGATGTTTTTCCAGTCAGGAAAGATGTCACACTCACAATCTGATCGTACTTCGTGCTCACATTAGCTCATATAAATGTGACCACTGACTCGGAACAATGGTATCCTATCTAAGCAGGCAAATGAGTCGGATAATTGAGATGGCTTAGACATGAGGTGCTCCTCTTCGCCGGACAAACAATTGGTAATGCTCAGATTGAGATTTGAACACAAATTTAGGAAGGAGCTGGCCATATCCCTGCAGAAACGCGTAGAGAAATGTATTGCACATGCCATGAAACATTTGTGTACAAGCCTTTGGCGGAAGGAATCAAATAAAGCAATTGACTGGTCCTAGGAGTTGGGGATTGGTGGCTCGTGGCCGCTACTGTGCGTTTATCACGTGACATTACAATTTACTGACAACGGGTTTTACGGTGGTATAAGTACTCTATACATCATTCAGTGCAGTTGAGTACTGACCCAGATCTCAGAACAATGGCAGATCTGATGCAATGGCAGGGCGCACCTGGCACCAATGCTGGTGATGGACATATGATCGATGTGGGCGCACAACTTGGGGCTCATACTCCTAATAACAACATGGGTCCCAGTGCCAATAACAACTGCTCAGCCCAAGACCAGCAGTAGCAGGAAGAAGAAGAAGATAGCGATAGTGATGGTGATGGCGACGGTGAAGATGACAATGGTAATGAACAACAAAATAATGATGATGATGATGATGATGATGATGATGATGACAACAACAACAACAACAACAACAACAACAACAACAACAACAACAACAACAACAACAATGGTGCGAGAGCAGGAGGAGGGCACAGTGGTGGGGCTGCAGCTACAACATCCACTGCTGTACAAGGTGCAAGAGGTGCAAGAGGCGGGAGAGGTGCAAGAGGTGCAAGAGGTGCAAGAGGTAGGAGTGGTGGGAGAGGACTTGCTAGGGGGGGGGAGCCCAGAACAGCTACCTATGTCCCAGGGCCTGGCATTGAGGGGCAGGTCACACCCAATATTACATGGTCAGTCCGGCATGTAGTGAATTCTGGGAAAACTCCTCAACTCATTTCTCTCAGATGCCGATGACGCAATGGGTAGGCTGTATAGAATGATGTCATCAGACTGCACCTGTGACCGATGTCTCTCTTATCAGATGTTGACAGCAATGTTGTTGTACCTCCTGGAGATCCACGTGTTGTTCGTGGTCAAAGCCAGGTCATTAAAACCAGAGGTAGGTCTTGATGTCGGTCATATTCTGGTTGTTCCCCTGTATGCTAACTCAACTATGGATAGAAGGATTACCTGGTGGGTGTCCAGTTTACCTGACATGATCTGGCCAGCCACATTCTGACCCCCAGCACATGGTCAGCCGATTCCAGATCTGAGGCATTGGCCCTGGAGGCGTTTTCACTGGTGCAAGGTGATGGCGCCATGACTAAATGCAGCGGTTGCTCCAATGTTGGCCAGTTGAAGAAATGTGCTCGACCAGGTTGTCCTTTCGCACTGTGCTTCCAGAAGTCAAATATGCATACCTGTATCAGCAATGTAGGCCTGGGTGAATTTTGGTGTCCTCCATGTTGGGGACGCAGCCAATCCACTCCATTACCTGTAAGCCAGTCATAGCCTAATCCTGGACTTGTCTGCGACTCTGATATGTTGATAGTACTCGGTGGTTGCAGAAGGCACCTACCTTACTGGCCAAAATTTCACCCGCTGCCTGCTGGCGTTTCACACCATTGCCTTAAAACATGACGCATACGCTGAATGTTTGTTACAAACTCAGTTGGAGGAAGAATTTGTGCCTTGGAAAAACATGGTGTGGGATTAATGTCAAGTATGTGGCAGTTGTGTCGCACCAGCATTGAACTGTTCACCGGAGCTGCTTGCCTGCCCCATGTCTGCGCATGTGTCCGCGATGCACTGGCCTTTGTGAAGGCCAAACCAGAAGCTGATTTTCTGGTCCTGATGGACACGCACAGTGATTATGATAATGGCGAGCTGGTCCACAGTGTTGACAAACATGGAAATGCCTGGACTCAGGATGCCTCAGAGGTGAGCCGTGGCCGACTCTTCTTGATTTCTTTCCTTGACCTGGATCTCAGGTGTTATGTCATCACTTGGGCCCGGAATTGTGGAAGCGGTCCCTGGACATGGCAGGCACCAAAGGGATGATACTACTGGCTTGTGGTTCAACATTCACAAAGCCTTTGCATTTTGAAAAATCAAGTCACTGGTCTCCAGGTATGATACCCCCCATCCCCGGAGTCTTTTTTAATGACATTTGTGGATCCAGCAAGCGCCTGCAGTTCATCACTGGATTCACTGCTCACTCAGTTCAACCTTCTGTGGTCATGCCCTTCATCCTATGGGTGATCATACAGGTCTACATTCACCATTTGCCTGTTGAGCAGGCCCTTGAGCAGGAGATCGCTCACTGGAGTCTGCTGTCCCATACCCCTGTGGTGTTGATTTGTTGGAATAAAGACAAGCATCTGATTAGCCCCACTATCTCTGGCAATGTGTGGGGCCTCCCCCCCTGATGTGGCAATCCCCTATACAACCCTTAGCCTGGGGACATCCTAGCCAAACACTCCAATTGCCAAGCCGCCAACTTCTTGAAGTTCCGGTGCAACCACTGCGACTGGAGTTCTGACGGTTACAAACCCAAACCCAGCTGGCTTTTTCAGTTCTCGCCCTGGATTGTTTCTCTGTTCACCACTTTTCGCTTACTGCAGAGGAGGAGGATTATGTCCGTCTGTGCCTCAACATACCACATGGTCAACGTTCATGTAGAGTGCCATTATGACATATTTCCAAGCTTTAGATAATCTTGCACACGTCATGTCGCCCTCATTATACATTTGACTAGACAGTTTTTACTTTGAAATAAAGCAGATATATGTGGGATCTCCAGAGCACTTTTCTATTGTTATCCCCCAAGAACAAGGCCTAGGCCTGATCGTTAGTCACCTTTTCTGAACTGCATTCTCCAGGAAGTGATGCAAGTAAGGAACACAAATCGCCAGGTGAAGACAGCCTCAATACAATGAGTTGTCGGGTAATCGTGTAGACAGGAGTAAGGTATCTGGCAATTCTGCCTTGACTAAAACCACAATACACAGTGCAAAATTCTGTGCAAGCCACCACCTGAGGAGTCAAACTGCCGGAGTTGTCAGAAGGATTATGCAGGACAGTCAACCATAGGCGGGTCCACAGTAGTAGGATAAATATGGTACTTGAAAGGGTTGGCAGGGGGTGAGTGTCAGGGATATTGTTGTGGCAGGGCATTTGATACTTTCAACAGCCTTGCCACAAATAAAATAAAATATCAAGGCCAACAGTCATTAAATACATATGCCTGGAAGTCAGGGCATTGTGATGTGCTCCAGAGAGGTGTGGACAAGTAAAATAGAATAAACTAGACAATGCACACTATCTGCAATCATATCGATAACGTGATCTGGAGATGTGGATTGCGTGGACCAATCCAGCATTCAAAAGGGCATGCAAACTCTAAGGCATATCTTCGGATGGTGTTGGCATCGACTGAGCCATACAACACCATACCTGGGCCTTGCGAGATGCCGGTTACGAAGTAATGGAGCTTCTGGCTTTCAGGATCGGTGATGATGGAGAGATCTACCCGTGCCGAAACCCTCAAGGATGATGGCTGCAACCTGTTCTCAAGGCCTCAACGGCCCAACATTTCTTCTTCTCCTTGGATGTAGACTGCAAGCGTGGTCAGCAAGAACTCCCAGATTTTCTGCCTGAGCCTTGGAAATTTCTGCCTGTGTTCTGCCCTCATGAATCATGAAATTGCATTGATCCGGATTGGATTTGCTGAGCCTGAATGACGGAGTCAATGCGATAGACAAAGATGGGGGCACAAACTCCCTACAGGCCAAGTTCCTCCAAACTCCATCCATCCTCCTGCAGGCTGTGGTCCAAGACATGGGAATTGCAGTTGGCTAGCGTGGAAGATCCGGGGTGAATGAAGATACAGAAAAGGGCCTGGTTAACTATGAGGCGATGCCACTGGCCTACCTTGTCCCACTCTGGGACATACGGTTGCTTGAACAATTGATACTCCCCATGCTTCTCCGCTTCATTGAGCATCCGTTGCTTCCCAGGATATTTGATGAACAGTCTTGAGGCGCTGGCTTCACGCTTCACAACCACAAGTTCAGTAACATGTGGATCAAACTTTGTCTCTGGAACGATTAGCTGTGTCGTGGGGTGATGAGTTTGGGTGCCGTCCCAGGCGATGGAATCCAACAAGCTAATGGCATTGTGATCATGGGATGCAGCCCAGCACTCCAATATGCCTGGCCACAACGGAAGCACACCTTCCAACCTGCGCAATGCCCACATGTATTTCTCACATGTGCAGCATAAAGTTGAATCCCCCCGATCCCTTGAGGAACTGGAAAGGCGAAACAAAACTGGAGCCTCTCTGTCTTACACCAAGGTCTGGGATCAGCCTGTCCAACTCCATTTTAAGTGATGGATTCACCTGTAATTTTTGGTCAAATCCAAACCTCCTCATACAGCGGCAAATTTTTTCATGACCAGCTCGAGCTTATCCAGGTGCATGTGAATGACTTCAGTGAATGTTTTGAAATTCATGTAGCACGCCTGCAGGCAGTTCTTAGGCGACATATCAATTGTGTGCCACATCAATAACTACACATCATAATTGGAGTGAGGGTCGTGATGCCTGTCATAGATACCATTGCCGCTGACTTACCACTTCATTGATATACACCATCTTGTGTCCTTTAGGAACCTCTTTGCCACACGACTGCTTGGATGTAGCTGCGAAAATCAGGCCATCAAGGTCCCCATTACCCAATAGGTAGTCAGCCTCCTGTTGAGATAGAGAGGTCAACACCCAATCAATATAGGTCTGTTGTTGCAGTTGCAACTGGGTCTTCTTCCACCCTGGATCCGGCACTACCAGAATCACTTTGCTCATTATGTAAGATCTGGTGTCATGCCAATCTGCATTTCAGCCTGACACTCAACAAGAGACCAAACCCTTAAGTACTTACGATCTGCCAATGTGTGAGTTAACTGGTATCGGTATGGAGGAGGATATGAGAATCTGTGGCCTGCCCAAAGATGCCTGTCACAGGGTGACAGTCACAACGACATCACTGACGTGCGGACTCCAGGAGCTTGTAGGTACCAGGGAGGAGAGTCTCATCAGTAGGCAACTTGTGATGCCCTATCTAAAAGCGCCAACTGTTGGAGCTCTCCATATGCTAAGGCTGGCTAAACAAAATGTCTCACTTTGCTTCACCAGAGCGCAGATTGCAAGGATTAGTCATCAAAGAGATACTCCTGGAGGTGGGCGCCAGTAGGCTCCAAGCATTCAAGATCAGCTAAGGACAAAAAACACAGACCACTCAGCACTGTAGGTGGACTTTGAATGGACACGGGATGCGCCCAACAAAAATAATGCTACTACCAGGACAGACAAGGAAATCACTTCCTAAATGCCTGCCCACACTAGACTAAAAGCTCTGCAAGGCAAATACAAGTTGCTCAGCCAGTGGCAATGAGCATTGAGCACGTATGTCATGCCAAGAGCATCTGGAGCATGTGCTGCAAAGGAAGACTGAAATTGAATGTAGTAATATAAGAAGAAAAAATTAAACTTAATGTTCTCAATTGGGAGAAGCCTGTGTTTCTCAACGCCGGGTCTTTTGGTAGGTAATAATATCCATGTCCAAACAGGCCCAGATCTTATCTTGACCTCAGTGCCATGTCTTCTACAGCACCCTGGACGAACCATTTGGTATTGAGAGCTGTACTACAACCACATTTCACTGAACTGGAAGCCTCTAGGTGGGAGGATGAAACCATGTCTGTACTTCTGCGCAAGGACCCCGGGGTGAGCACCTGTCACATCTTAGTCTAACCATGATATATACTAATGCACTCTTCTCCTGTTATAGATGCTTGGACCAAAGACCTCATATCAAGACCATCATGAATTACGTTGGGCTAAGCTGCCAGATGAATCCTTATGCAGAGCTTATATTCAGTTCAGCTTAATGAGAATGTGTCATCAACGGGGGGCCATGAAAGTTTTGCTGCAAGGAGTGGCTGAGGGCTTGGTCTTACAAGGCTTGTTGGTGAGCGGCCTCAGAAAGCTTGCCCCCCTGTCTAATGTGTTGAACACTCATCAGCTGACCACGCATGACCAATTATCTGAAGATGACACTCCATTGGAAACTATTGATGCTGAGGGATTAATCTCTGATTGGTCCCATGGGGCTAAAGAGTGCTGTCTTAGATGGAAATCCGCTTTGGCCAACTTCTTTGGCCAAGGAACATGGGTAAGCAGGCCTCAGACAATCCCTTAGGAAAACCAATTGTCTAAAAGTGTGTCAGGAGCTGGAGGCTCCAGCCATAACTACACTGCGGGAGATGAGGAAATGGACTCACAACCCGCATGCCGCCCGCAAATCCACGATGGAATCAGTTATCTTGGTAAACACCACATCTTCCATGTCCATTGGCATGTTTTGGTCTTTGACACTCGTCTCAGCGTTCTGGCCTGGGTCATGAAATCCTCCGGATCGCCAACCCACAAGTGGGTTTGGAGAACAAGACCCCTTATCTGTCCCTGAGATTCCAGTGATATTGTTGGAAAGAGAGTCTGCTTAGTTGTTTGCTTGAATGGGTCGATTGAGTCTTACCTCCCAGGATTGAGACCGGCCGGTCTACAAGTGCAAATGCCCAGGAATTTCTGCAACTCCTGTCCCGGAATTGTGTGTGTCCATTTCGGTCCAATTACTCCTCAGTATTTGCATTTTCATCTGAGAGATGCTTCCTGGCTGAAGCTGTTAGATGGATGTTACCGACCCTGGCTGCCAAGGCGCCATCTGTGACATGGGTGGGTGCACTCTTTGATTATACTGGCAATTACATTGATATGATTTATTTAACAGATATGCAAGGCCTCATTGAACCATCTATTCTGCTTGATCTGTGGTTTCTCTTGCCGCCGATCTGGATGCCCTTCATCTGGATGAAGAACTGCTTTTGGTTCTGAAGTCATCTGCCAAGCTGAGGGGCCTATGCAAAGAATTGGCCAAAGGTTTTCATGAGAAGTTCCACAAAAATGTAGATCCAAGTACCCGGGGTTGTCGCACATGCTATCATCAGGCCGAAGATTCCAAGTGTGTCAGGTATTGGACTGTTGAGCCCAGTTATCGCTCGGAAATCCATGGGAAGGTTGTCATGCCTTATCCTGCCAACGATCCTGATCGACTTCCTCCCACAGGGAAGGTAAGGATTTTGACATCAATGTTCCTGCTTGTCCTGAAATTATTTTATCTTAGGGTGTGGCGGTCCATACCGACTATATTCCTCTAATGGACTTGGGGTTGAGAAAGATTTCTTGCTGTGCAGATGTTCTAGCATGCTGTGGTTGGGACGTCACCCTGTTGGTTGATGCCAGCTCGCCCAATACTGTGTTGGTAGGAGTTTCCTTTGACACATTTTCTTATGAGGACTTTCAGAAGATCCATTATGAATCCTCTGCCGGAAAGGAAACCAAAGCCATCAAACGGGGCAGCCAGTTCCGCCAATTTGAATGGAGTAAGATGCATCTAGTAGGCTCCAGGAAACCTACTGGGGGCAAGCCTGGAGACACCTATATGGGCTATGCTGGTATGGAAGTGATGGATACATCCCACATCAGATTGCTCTTTACTCACGCCGCTGTGCATTTATGACATCTGTCCATCATTATCTCCAGCTGATACCTGAAATCCCAGGATGTGGAAAGGATGGTGGCTGCGACTACACCAATTTATCCTCATGTGGCCAGGGATCTTCGACAGATGTTTGAGGTGCAGATCAGCAAAAGTGCATTGCAGCTTGTCGACATTGGGGTTGACGACTTCTGAAAAGGTGAAGGAAGACATGGTAAGAATTATGAGATGAAGGAGCGGATGAAGGAAAGGTTGGAGGGTTCTTATAGGGAATTGCGATCTAGCCCACACTTCCATTGACCCTGACCCACTCTTCACGACCACCGCATGCCTATTATTCCTTGCATTGTTCTACTCCACTGATCGTGACCACCGCGTGTTTACACTTCCACCCACTGTTCTGGCTCATCGATTGTGTCCACCGCTTCTATCAAATTTCCGCACCCTGATCATCACTTCCATATCAGGTCATCATCAATCACGTTGTAGAGACTCGATCCTGGGTAGCCTCACAATGGCACATATTGCAACGTAGGTCGAGTCTACAGTATCATGCATGTACGCGACATTCGCGCGACGCGCGCAACTTAGGCGACACTTCCGCGACATAGGCGACACTTCCGCAACTTGCGCGCCGCTTTAGGCGAACTTTCCCGCGCCTAAGCGCTATAGGGCGCCTGACTTCCCACTGTGTTTTCCCATGTCCAACCAAGTTCCCAGGTATGCATTTCTCCATTTATCATTTATTTCAACATCGTACCATGTTTATTTTCACTTGGTACACATTTTTCATTACACATTTTTTACTGGAGACAACACACATTACCACGGACCACCATCATCATAGACAGTCACCATCTCCGAGTTTTTATTATGTTTTGAATAAATCATCGCAAGCCCTAGTAGCAGTAGCTCTAGTGGCCATATCCGCATCAGTTGTCTTATCAGCATCTCAGTACACGTCTTAAACATCTCACTATCGCTCGCATACCGCTTTCACCCCAGTTCCGCTTTTCGACGCGCGGACTTTCCCGTGCTTCGCGCGCCTATAGCGCCTTTGTTCCCCGCGCTTTCGCCTTATCACGCGCTTTGCGCATTCCCCCTAGAGTTGACCAGTGGATATTTGCTTTCTCCGCTTCCCCTAAGGGACAAACATATCGCACTCATATTTTCCTCCCTTCAACAATTATATCAGCTGCACCCTCAGCTGAGTTGAAGATCCTTCACCGGTATACTGGTGTACAGGAATCCCGAAAGGAGATGAACGATAGTTAGAGTTATATAAACAGGACATAAAATAAGAATCAGATCGGATCTGTGGACCGGACGACAGATATATCCATCACATCTAGATCAGATCTGAGATCCAGATCTTCGGATCTGTATCCAGGTATATGGTATATGACAGTTCTTCTGATCTCTGAATTCAGGATTACTTCACCAAGTTGAAGATTTGAATGACTGCCTATCACTCAGGTCCACTAGATGGTTAGGGTGGGTCACCTTAGACCTGCTGGATCTCAGCTTGCTTTGCCATTTTCAAGGCTTCCTTCATAATTTTGCTAATTCTTCAATTCCTCAACACATTTTAAACAAGACAGGCAATAATCATGTCAGATCTTGATCTTGATCCACTACCTTCTCCAACCACTCTGAACCAGTGCAGGATCAAGCAAGATATAGAACTGGATGATGCAATACAATCATCCCTACAAGCATCCAGTAAAACATCCTTGTCCAAGAGCCTACTATCATGGTGCATAGGAGGCATTGAGGTTGTAGAGGAGGACCTGGATTGCCTGAGATATCCAAGGGAAAGGATCTGTAGCACTGTCATGAATGCATATACTCTTCTTGTACCTAACAGATATGACAGTTTGAAGAAAGCAGGATGTGTAATCATCAGTTCACTGGTCTCCCACATGATACGCAAAAAAAACTTCATGTGGAGCAACAACCCTGGATAACATTGTTTCTGTAGTTAGTATATGCTTCCAACTGGGGTTTATAAACTTAATCTTGCCAGTCCCTTTGACCCAGACAATCAAATGTAGAATGCTTGCCTGCAAGCATTGGGTTTTTCCTCTGTGTGGAGGAAGCCCCTCTCACTGGGTCCTAGGTTGGGTGGACTGGTCAATCCATAAAATAGGTTTCTTTGATAGCCTGGGAATCCGTCCTGCCTGGGCTCAAAAGGTCAGTAGAATGTTTAATTGATGTACAATATGTGGGCATCTGAAGTCATGATTTTTCTATCAGGATTTGGTGCATGCAGCTGCTGGCCTGGAATACTAGCTAAAACATGAAACCTATCCAGAGATTAAATCACTGGAACAAAGATTCAAAGACTGGCCAGTCCACCATCACACCTCACTGGCTGATCAAAAACAAAAAGACACCTGGTCTTGTGGTCTATTCATCATGATGGCAATGGATGGTCTCTCAAACCTGGATTTCTCATGTGTACTCTGATCCAATGTGACCCTACAAAGAAATCTGCATTGAAAGCCATTGAGAAAGTCAAGTAAGTCTGAAGGGTCAACTATATTCTAGACGAATTTGCTGACATGGGAGCCTTAGGATGGTCATGGTGTATACCCGTTCTAAAAAACCCAAAATTCCCTCATCCTTGAATCATTCTGAATCATCAATATCTAATGATACACCCATGAGCAATTTGGTCTTGGAGACCCCTAGAAGTGAAGAGGTTCAAAAACTTCTGGAGATCATATTAAATGCCAAAAATCTGGTGGTCATTTGTGGTATGATTAAGTCCACCTCTTGAAAGTTTCATGCTCAAGAAATCCTATTGCATCCAACTCTTTCTGCAGGTCCAGGTGTATCTGTTCCTGTTGCTATCAGATCTTCATGCCAGTCCCTATCGGATCCTTTTAATTTACTGCATCCTATAATATGGCAGGTATGATACAAGGCTCTACATGTCTTTAAGAGTATCTCACACATCATTGCATCTGTAGGACCAGGCACAGTCATCTTTGGTATTTCAGACCCTGAAAAATATCGATGCCATGGAAAAGACCGCTGGAGTGTTATTCTTTGGACTTCCAACGTCATCTCAGATAGGTCAACCATGATTGTCCAAGATGCATTCCATTGCTGGGGACATCTGGATCAGATGTCTTGCACTGTTGGGCGCCACATGGTGCAATCAGCCACTTTTCTGAATTAATCTGCTTCCGAGGGCTACCTATATGCACCACCTGCAAACTTTACAACACCCATGGACACCATGGGCATCATGCGTCCAAATATTGTGGTTGTGAAGAGGAAAAACCAGATTTGAATAATATTCTAGCTCAGGACAAGAATCTTGTGGATGTGGTCCTGGCTGTGGGAGTTCATCCTATCCCTCACTCCAACTATTCTACCATCATCAAACAATTTGCCCAAGCAGCACAGTCCAGAGCTCAGATAGGGGTTCCCTCAACCATTCTGATGGACCAGGATATGCCTACTCTGGAGAAGGCTGGAATCCAAGATCTGTTTCAAGTTTCTTTGGTGCTGGATCTGTAAGACTTTTTTGGACACATTGTTGTTGCTGCCCATCAGGATGCTGTCCATAATCCTGCTAGTAACACCATGGTGATATCAAGGAAGCCAGAGCTTATGGACTTCTCAATGAAGCAAGATGATGAAGAGGGTGGAGGTGGTGGAGGTGGAGGGTGGTGTCATATCCCGTATTCCAGACCTTCGTCCGATGATGTTCCCACGCCTTCCGGACGCCTTCCGGATGCACATCCGGACCTCCATACCCTTATCCATGACTCCATACTCTTATCCATGCCTTCAGTCCTCCAGTCCACTATCGGTTTGGATCCGTACACCTTCGTACATCCATATATCAATACCTTCGGACCTCCGCAGCTAAGCCTGCTCCATCCACCCTTAGTCCTATCGGATCCGAGCTCATTCCATCTCGGACTCTACCTTCCCTAGACTATCGGTCTATATCCATGATCCATATCCTAGTCTCGTATTCACCTAGATCTCTGGATCCGCTCATCCGGTATCCAGACGCTTCATCCGATATCTCTAGACCTCCGGATCCGACATATACTCATATCTGAGGCCCAAACCTTAAATCAGCATCTATCTCCTTATGGTAATCCCCTTGACTCCAGACTTCGGTTATCTCAGTTTCCGTCTTGCTTATTGATCCTTGTACTCTGTTCATATCCGAGTTCATTTACTTATGTTCTGTTCATACTTACTAATATGTTTCCACATGCTCGTACATAGCATTTGTGTTCAGCTTACCGATCCTCTCAGATCCCTTCCAGTATATAAAGATCTGTACAACTCCTGTAAAGTTTCCTTAGTTCGAATATCATCTTAGACTTTGCTCTATCACATTAGACTTCACTCATTCTTGTCTCGGACTTTGGTCCATCTGAGTTCTGCCTTTCCATCAAGGCCTAGGGATGGATTCCCTAGGCCAGAAATCCGGACCTTCAGATTTGTCCCCTATGTCTCAGTTCTGAAGTCTAGGGATTGATTCCCTAGACTGAAGTTTTGCCTTTCTGGCACTTCCTGTCTTTCCGAGACTTCTGTCTAAACCCCGTCTATCCGACTCTACCATAGTGTAGTCTACCTCTGTTTGTTTCTACTCTGGACCTTGTCCATAGTAGCCTTTCCCCTCCTCTCCTAATCCTGTCCGCTCCTCCGGTCCTTGTAAACCTTCGGACGTCGTAACCTTCGGACGTCGTAACCTTCGGACGTCGTAACCTTCGGACGTCGTAACCTTCGGACGTCGTAACCTTCGGACGACATACTTTTCGGACATCTTAACCTTTGGACCTCCGGATGTCCCATCCTTCAGACCACTCCTCCTATCCTATCCTGCTTTGGACTCTGTCCCTTGCAGCTTATCCTCTATGTGTTTCTATCTAGGGAACTTACCTTGGGAAGTCTTACCTTCAGATCTAATACAGTGGATGAAACTCCTTTGGAGTTTCCTATACTCCTCCGGAATTCTCTTGCACTCATCCGGAAGTCCTCTAGCACTCTACTAGAGTAGCCAGCCTCCGGAAGTCCTTTGGACTTCGTCGGATTCCATCTGGACTTCATTCTGAAATTAAGGGCACGTACTTGGGTAAGGGGCACAGCGCACGAGCTGAGGCCAAGCCCTTCGGATCCATTAACCCTTGAGCTACAGTCTTAACAGGTGGAGGTCATAGCTGTGATCATTATTGCTAGCGCTGAGGCCTTGGTATTCCCTGTTTTGTAGCCATGCAGCTGAGAGTAATTCATTTTACCTTAGTATTTTGTCATTTTTAACCAGTCTATAGTATTTAAGTATCGATGTATCTTTTATCAATCATGATCAAGGTCTTAATGGTCAAGATAGTTCTTGGATTACAATGATCATGACTAGATTTGGCTTGGAGGTTTGAGTTGAAAAGTCATCATCTTGAAATAAAGCCTGGCTTAGCTTGAGTTCAACTTGAACTCATCTTAAAGTTACTGCAAATATTGATTGACAAGTAATAAATTATACCTGTCAATCAACCATGGGAGTCACCTGATCTTAGCAGATATTCTGTCATTTGCTATGGTTTTTATGGCCTGTCAAGACCAATACTCTCTAAGCCACCTCTTATCACAGTGCTTGAAGTTTGTATGTACCATGGTGGTGGAAGTGCCTTTGACATGTGGAACTTCATCAGAAGCCATTTCAGCAATCATCTCTGCAATTCTAGAAGCTAAGAACCTGATCACTATATGTAGTAAGTTTGACTCTCTTGTATATTGAAGCATTCATCTTAAACCACAAGAAATGTAGGAGCAGGAGTGTCAGTATCAGCAGGAATTCCTGATTTCCGTTCTTCAAAAGGACTGTTTACTACTGGAGCACTGAGCCAGGATTTGCTGGATACAAGTGTTTGGAAGGTGCCAAATTTTCTGTTGTCCACTTATTATTATCATCAAATCATTAATTTCATGTCCTCTTGTTCAGACAACTGTAAAGGCTGCATCTCTATGCAAAACACTGGCACAATTGCATCAAAAATGTTCTGAAGCATCTCTCACTCCTTTTCATCTGGCTCTTAAAATGTTGGATGAAAAAGGTGGACTGCACCGGGTCTATACTCAAAACATTGACCTGCTGAAATCAAAGGCAGGTCTATCCTTTGATGTGCCTCAGACACAGAGTTCTGAAGAGACACCCCAATGCATTCCTTTGCATGGCACATTGGAGACACTGGCATGCATCAAGTGCTGCTACCAGTCACTATTGCACTTGCATGCTGAAACTCTAGCAACTAGTTGCTTACTACTATGTCCAGCCTGTGAGCAGATTGAATAACAGTGCCAGATGACCCACAAGTGTCCCCATATATCAGGAACATTGATTCCAACCATAGTCCTTATGGTCAGACACACCCAGCTGTAGATCACCTAGCACAATGTATCACCCATGATGCTAATGGAGATGATGGAAAAGTGAAAGCAGATGTTTTACTAGTTGCTGGCACCAGTCTCAAAATTCCAGGCATCATTGCTGCAGTTCACAAGTTTGCTCAAGTGGTCCATGCTCAGGAGTCAAAAGGTGGATATAGATCAATTTATCTAGATGAGAAATCACTCTCATCAAAATGGAACAGGTTTTTTGATGCTTGGGTATCAGGTGACTTGCAGATCTTTGCTCAATGTTTAATAAGATCCTTCAGCCATAAATTTGACCAGTCCATAGATGATGCCCAAGACTCTACAAGTATAACCATCTTGGCAGAAGATCTTCCATCTGAAGCTGCATCCTTCTTGAAAGGCAAGGATAATATTCTGCTACATATCAAGCATCCATTTCACATACCTGCTCTATGAAAGAGTGAGATCCAGCTCTGACTTACTATTCTACCTCATCTCCAAGATCATACATTCTATGTCAATTTTTAGATAACTGGACTATTTTTCACAGGATTTGAAATGCTAGTATATGAATGAATCTGGAGTTATATGCACAATCATATTCAATACATGCTAACATCTGAGTCATTACCCTCCTCATCAGCTTCCTCTCCACTCCCATCATAATCAAATAATGAATCCATTTCAGACTCTGCAGTACTATCATCCTTCTGGTCAAACAGTGAGTTTGTTTCAGAGGCACTGCCATCATGGGTGTTGCTATTGCTGTTGGTGTTATACTCCAGGTCTGCACTGTGCTTTTTGTTGGTTCTATTGCTGGCACTTGTCACTGGACCTGTTGTCTTATGTGGTGAAGATTATGAAAGAATGAGTGATGTGTGAAGTTATGTGATTTGAAGATAACATACCTTGATCTGCCTGATTGGTGGTTTTCTAGCACAGCTTGGCCTTTAGAGATCTCCTATCAACTTGAGGTTTTCTTTGTTCTGGTTTTTTCCTCTTTGAATCCCATCCCTGCATATTCATAATGGTTATATGAAAATCTTGTGGCCTCCTGATGACAGCTGGCCTCTTGACGGTCCTTTTTCTGCCTCCAATTTTTTGTATCTGGTAGAAACATGGATTGGTCACTATCTTGATACTGTCTTGACCAGAAGCTAGGGTCCAAGTGGAGCCAGGACTTTTTGCAGTAGGCTTGTTGGTATCAGGAAGACATTGGAGGTTGGAAAACAGTATATCTAGATGTTCATGCAGATGCTCCAGCTGGGCTTCAGATAGTTCAGAGCACATTTCATGATAGTGTGCAATGTAACCCTCTGTCCAATCAATCTTCCACTTTGATGACTGTGGAGGGGCTGTGTCTTTATGAGTGAAAAAATGTGGTGCATCTCTGCACAAATGAGAGGTGGAGGTGCCCAGGTTTGTCTCCCTCCAGTCCAGCACTGCAGGCCTGGAATTTAATGGAGATGATCCATTGATTCACCCTATCCAAGGACCAGCAGACCATAGCTTCCTGGAGATTATCACAGATCCTGGGATTGATAGTGATAGCATCCATAAAATCATTGGTGGTCTGTGCTCCACCTAGCTGCAACCAAAACTCCCTTGTGAACCTCAGCATTGTCTTCTTTGATGATGATTTGTTGTGCATCATAAAGAAAGAGCATGCCATTACAGTCCCTAATCCTTTCAACATCCAGACTTTGAAAAGACTGCCTCAGATGGAGATTCATCACAATAGGGGTAGAAGTCAAAGACCATAGAAGATGACACACGATGCTAGTTTGGATGCCGTAGTTGAGGGGTTTTTCACTTTCAATGATTTTTGAGCATGTCTCAAGCCTTCTAGTCTGCTGTTCATCAGGCCAAACCAAACCTTAGAAGGAATCCAAAGAATAGGTTGAGACTTCATAAAAGCTTCAGCCTGGTCATTGTGTGTGAGAGAGATGAAAGGTAAAGCTGATGGCTGAAGACTCACCTGATCTTTCAAATAGGGAAGCACCTTCAAAGCAGCTTGTCTAATCATCCTATACCCATCTCTACACCCATAAGCCCTCCGGGAAGAACCACCACTGTATATTTCATGCATCAATCCACATTCTTTAAGATATGCCTCTGTAAGATGGTAGGCATTTCTGTCAGAGATTAACTTGGGTTGGTTGTTGTTGGGTCTGATGGCCTTCATAACATAACTGGTAAGCTAAACGGAAGCAGATTTGGCTAGGTCTTGCATAAGCCAGCAGCATTTCTGCCTGAATGCCTCCATACCTCCCCAAAGTGTTTGTGTGATGAATAACACCTTTTTAAATCCTCCTTTCTGAAAAGAAGCCTTTAAAGCATTAAGCCTCCACAGACCCACAAACTGACCAGTGGGATTGAAGCTGATCCCCACATCCAAGTTCAGTCCTCCATTATTCCTGTCCATCATGTGGTCCTAGTCCAAATTTGTGAAGTTGACCTTTAAAGCTTCATAAAAAGAGTTGTATCTGTCAATCTGGCCATTCTTTGTCTACAGTTTGATGCCCTTGCCTTCCAAGACAAAGAAGAAGAATCCATAAGGGGCCAGCATTGCCTGATCTCTGACCCGGGTCCTCATGCTTCTTTGAATCCTTTCAAATGCTACTCCAGAGACAGGGATGGCCTTGGGTCTATGGCTTCCAGACTGACCAGAGCCACCTTTTCTTGATTTATATCTGATCTCATGCACAGTGGTATTCATATAAGGTAGAGAAGAGTTAGGTGCCTCCTGAGATATGGAAGGCAGGACCACTTCATTCCAGAATAAATCAATAACATCAACAGGAATCCTAGTGGTCTTCAAAGATGAGTTGGAACGGTTATAAATCATCTGGAGAAAGAACAGCAGGAGATTAGAGGTGTGATTTGCTGTGCTCAGCACTCCAAATGGCACATGAGGTATGGAGCTCAAAGGGACTGACTTGGTTCACCACTCCTCTCTTTGAGCACCATCTGGATCCTAGTTTTCTGCACTTTGAGGAACAAGAATGTCCACATATATGTCATTGTGCTTGTGGATGGGAGTTTACTAATCAATTACTGGAGCCAAGTAGATTCCTAAACTGAGGGCCGGACAAAAATCTGGAGTAACCCAGATGTAGCTGTTAATGTCCACTGAGATGGTGATTTCTTCAGGAATATCCATGTCTCTAGGTCCAATATGATCCTCTAGCCTCCAATGAGATGGGCTTCATAAACAAAGAGAGAGTTTCATACACTCCACTTTGCTCTGAAGCCAGGTGGCTGACATCTAGCAGTATCTCAGATGCAGCCATGATCCTAACATCACTTTACTCTTCTTTCATCAGGAAACATAGAGCTTCTAGACAGGCTGTGACCTTCTGCTCTCCAGTGACTAACCTGCCAGCTGGGATCATATGTTTCAGATACCCCAATGCTCATCATGGAATCTAGAGTATCCATTGCAGGGCCTAACCAGAACATCTGAGAGAAGCTAGGGAGAATCCTATAACCATAATCTCTGAAGAGCATGGCAGATCCTAGTTCACTGATCCAAGTATTCTGGGATGAATACCATATCTCTCCAGCATCCATCACAGGCTGCATAGATTCCAAGGTAGGTCCATCCCAATATTGATCAAATTTGGCATCAAATGGCCTTCATCTGGATGGCATGGTAGTGATGTCACGGAGGTGAGTGCCAGTGGTCAATGATTGATAATCCAAGAGCTGCTTCATATTTGGTATCATTTGATTGCTGAGGATCAGATTTGTAGTGAGATTGTTGTCTTCAGGATCTAGATCTTGAGCTTCATCATCCTTGCTTCTACTACTCTCTGGTATTAGACTGATAGCTGCCTTGCTTTCTGTGGTTTGACCTAGTTTTGGTCTACAGTTAGGGCAGTTGTATAGCATGGTGGCAAGCTGAGTAATGATGGCCTGGTGACCATGTACCATCTGCTGAGCTTCTTCCAATCTGATGGTCAAGGCTTCCTAAGAGATGTGATCCACCGGATCCCAATTATCTAGTAGAACATCACCAAGATATAGATAATGGCTCCACTGGCATCTGCAGCTGAGTTTCACCATCTCCAACATTCTAAGATGGATAGTGTGTGCACAAGGTATGGTTGGAAGCTGCAGTCTCCCATCAAGATGGTGGCTCAGCCCTTGCTTCAGAAAATGCTTCAATATGGTACATGAGATTGGATCACAATCACAATTTGATGTCTGTGGCAAGTGGGATCCAGAGTCTTCATGAACATGTATAGCAGTAACATCTCCATAGGGCCAGCCATACAGCATGGCTAGCCTCTTCCAATATGCTGGACCATGTCATTTCTCTCAGTTGCTCTGTGAACTGATTCCAGGTTGAGTTGTGGAAGTTGTATAGTGACCTAGAATGTGAGCACTTTGCCTGTGGTAGTCAAAGATGACCACATAGTAATGTTGGGATATAGCCAAGATGAAGCTAACCTGAGCTGCAGGATGTTTCTGAGAAGAAGGCAGGAAGTGTCTTTGCTGAAAAGTTTGGATCTCATCCATGTTTGGCATCCTATCCACATTGTTGACCAGTAGAGGAGCTATAGCTGCCATATCAGCATATCTCAGAGGACCTTACCCATATTTAGGATACCACTTAGCCATTAGAAATAGATTCAGAACTGCAGCTCCAATGTGCATCTGGGGATTTAATGTATGAAGCTGTTCTAGGGCAGGAAGCCATAGGGTGGGGCGTGCCAGGTTGAGTATGAGATCAACAGTTACTATAGCATCTAGTCAGAGAGGTTTGTAGTTTAACATTTTCAACACTGTTCACCTGGTGATTTAATATCATCTTGAACTTCTGGAATTGTGGCTGGATCATCAGCCTAGGGAGATCTGATCCTTGAAGGACCATGTTCTTCTGAGCTTCCAGGTTGATAATTATCAGCTGGACTATCATCATCTGATTGTGACAGTAGATCTTCTGTTTCAGACAATAATCCATGTCTTTGAACATATTCCTCCAGGACGTCAGATAAATCATCATATATCAGATGATGCTGTCTGACTCTAGCATCAGAACCATCCATATCTTCTAAACATTCCTCAGAGGATGACATGATGGAAACTCCTTTGTTATGGCCTGTATCAGACAGCATTTCTAAGCTGTCCTCTGATGATAGCTGCAACTGAAGCCATGAGCTTTGAATGACAGATGAACCATGAGGCAAGTCCTCTGATTCAGAAGATAGCTGCATGTCTACCCATGTTGAAGTATGCTGTATTGAACATGATGGGGATGCAGGCATAATAGCTGTTGAGACTGATGAATTAATTCTTGGTGTATTAAATAAGATCCTACCTGGTGGCAATTCAAGCTAATCTGCAACTTGGTATAGAATTGAAGGAGGTGGATGAAACATACAGCAAAGTTTGGTGTTTAGAATTTGATCTGGATGTGACCCAGACAGGCTTCTATAAATAGTTTGACTATATTTGTATATTCTGGAATGACACGTATTATATACTCTCAAAATCTAACTCTGTGTCCAGTGTATCAGAAGTTGTTTTAGAATGGCAGAGCTGTCTAAAGGCATGACACAAAAGAAATTCAATGACTTACCCACCACAAGAGCAATCAGTGAGTCCATTTTTGTGCTTTGAATATTTTGCTCTGATCCCAAGAAAACAATTCAGTTAATTCTATTGTATTAGATGAAGGAGTGAAGTCAGAAATTGAATATAAAGTTGGACAAAGGCATGTTTTTCTGAAGGAATGCTGATTATTGAATCAGTGGAGGAGTCTTTTTGATCTAATTTTGATTGAGTGTAGTGTTTCAGTATATGCCCCCAAGAAAGGAAGGAGAGGATTAGATGACAATGATTTATGGTATGGAATCATTGAGTGTTTCCATGTGGACAAACATCCAAAAGCTTCACAGGTCTGTCTGTATCAACTCACTATATCACCATTATCATTTATCCTTGAATCCATGGTCTCTTTTTTCACAGCCTTTCTGGGTCAAAATACGCTGGTATTGGTCCAAAGATCTAGAAGAAGATTCTTTCAAATCAGCTTCTCAATTAGATTCCACTTTCTTTCCATGGGCACCCATGAGCTCTTGCAGTCAGATCTCACTCAATGGTCAGAAGCCTCAATATGAGCTGGTAAGAAACTCTTTGCCTTTTCATCTATCAATCTAAAACCATTGCCTGCACTTTAAGACATTATTAAAGTGGTCAAATTTGATGAAAGCTCAGCCTTACAAAAGCCTTGGAGTTGGGATGGTCTATATACCCATTGGTATGCATCCTCTTTGCCCCCTAAACTCCAGGTCTGATGTGTATGATGGTCAGAGGTTAAACATCTAAATAACTTTCTCCCTACCATTTTAAAGGTCACAGAAGATGATCAACCAAGTTTTGAAGCTTCAGCAATTTTTTGTGAAGAGATAGCCAAGATATGTATAACAGTCAGAGGTTGACTCTAACCCAAAGATCCTAGACATCATTGATCATCCAACTAAACTTGTTCCTATCATTGTGAAGGTCACAGAAGATGATTGACCAAGTCTTGAAGCTCTAGGAATTTTTTGTAAAGAGTTAGACTAGATATATATGGCAGTCAGGGGTTAACTTGGATAGAACGGTGTGATAATCATACCAGCGCTAGGTGCGTATGAATGTCATAGGCATATTTTGACTTGCCTAGAAGAAAAGAGTAAGACACTAGTCACCAGCGCTATTCAGCTCCCAAGCTATCCGCTTTGGAACCACTTTTTTCCCATAGCGTGATACCCGGTGTGACATCTAGGTGTTCCGCCCTCCCATGTCCTACCTATGTCCACCTACCTCCGCTGGTGCGTTATTTTTCCTTAAATGTCGCTACTCATCAGTCGCAGGTCTTATTACATGTGTCCTCATGCTCCGCAGTGCTGCATGTTCTATTACCTGTCGCTACATCATGCCCTCGCCAGTGTCGCTACTATACTCACCTACACATCCCGAACCCCTATGCAGTATGATAAAATGACCCATCCTACATACAGTACAGTACTTCCCTTCCCTGGACCTTTGCTGGTGTCGGAGTCACTTTAGTCGCTATATCCTAGTTTTGGTGCAATCGATTCCGCTCTTGCCAATCTCTCTGATCGCGTGTCACTTGACTTGTTTTGAGTGCACGTCACTAAAGTTCCCTCATAAGTTTGATTTTTGCAACGTTGGGATTGCTATCGGTAGTCAAGCTATAATCTAGTGGCTATCAGGCATTCCACTTGCACCATCATACCTTAGTCCTCACTTTCCCTTCTTTTGATTCCTTCTCGCTGTCGCTAGTCAGACGTCGCATAGCGCTATCGCATAGGACAACTTGTATAGCACTACTTACTTATACGCACATTTCTCTGTCGGAACTCACTTGTCGCTAGTCGCTGATCGCTACAGCGCTACTCATTGGTTTTTGGTCTTAGGTCGCTATAGGTTATTAGCCCTTCGCATCTTCGCTACCCTTGCATATTTGAAGGGAGTTGCTTCAATAGCAGTCCTCTTGGGTCGAATACTACACTCGCGCCTATTTGGATAAGTAGCGCTAGTTTCTAACCAGCCTAGTCGCTATTACTCTTTCACAATGTTTCTACATATCATCAAACATGCAACTAAACTTCTTCCCCCCATTTTAAAGGTCACAGAAGAAGATTAGCCAAGTCCTGAAGCCTCAGCAATTTTTTATAAAGAGTTAGACTACATACACATGGTAGTCATCAACTGGCCTATAATCAAATGTTTCATACATCAGCAAACATCCAACTAAACTTGTTCCCCCCATTTTAAAGGTTACAGAAGACAATTGACCAAGTCTTGAAGCTCCAGCAATTTTTGTGAAGAGTTAGACTAGATATATATGGCAGTCAGGGGTTGACTTGGATAGAACAGTTCTACATATCATTAAACATGCAACTAAACTTCTTCCCCTCATTTTAAAGGTCACAAAAGATGATTAACCAAGTCTTGAAGCTCCAGCAATTTTTTGTGAAGAGTTGGACTAGACACATATGGCAGACAGGGGTTGACTTGAATGCAAAGGTTCCAAACATCATAAAACATTGAAATAAACTTGTTCCCCCCATTTTAAAGGTCGCAGAAGAAGATTGACCAAGTCTTGAAGCCTCAGCAATATTTTACAAGGTGTTGGACTAAATACATGTGGTAGTCAATGACTGATCAGTACATGCTTCCAAAATCATAGAACAGTTCTTGCTACTTGTAGGTTGCTGCAGAGTTATGAGGCAAAGATGTGTTTTTGACCTCTAAGTCACGTGATGAGCCAGAGTATGAATGTGGCCTATCTGATGTATGTGTCTGCTTATGAGAACATCATGTGATCAAACAGACACCAATGATAATTGATTCAATCACTACTATACATGCAGAATTCAAAGATAGTAAAATGACACATTTGGTTGAACAAACAATAACAGAGACGAGTGAAATGCGTGACGACAGAACCAAGAAGTAAACAATGTATGGAAAAGGACACTACATGCCAGGAGCAGCGATGATACCAACATCACCATCATCTGCATGTGACGACTGAGCCTGGTTGGTGGCATGTTTGTGTTTCTTATTGTTGTTCGGGGACATAAGCACTGAACATAAATTGATTGATCATGCGACATGATGCAGCAGTGTAAAAAAAAAACTCACTGGCATCCTGGCGAGAACGTTTGGACGCCAAAGAGCCCTCTGAAGGCGCAATGGATGGTGCCGCTGAGGCAGATTGCTGCGAAAGAGCACAAGATGTGGGTTTGGATTTCGACTTGGAAACAGCCCTGGTGGAAGACGGAGCAGCATGCGGTGAGGCGATCTCAACCTGGCTGGGCTGATATGAAATATCTAAAATGCCCAACCAGTATAAGTGAGTCTTGGCTCTGCCTAGCTGCTACACTTGCAGAATGCAAGAGCGTTCAACCCTAAAGGGGAAGCAAGGAAAGCAAGGATCCACAGAATGATGCTGATCAACCCTGGTGAATGGTGATGAAAGTGCGAGAAACGCGCTGAAGGCATGCACGGGAAAGCGAAGTGCGAAAGAGTGCGAAGTGCGGGAAGGTAGTGCAAGCAGTGCACAAGTGAAAAAGACGTGAACTGATACTGAAGAGAGGTGACTGATGACGATGATAGGACAAGAAAGGCGACTGAAGACTGATACTGATGTTGCCACTAGCTAGAGACTGCTGCTGGGGCCTATGACAGCGAATACATGCATTGCATGGGACTAACTGCCAAGTAACATGGTGGTAATGTAGTAAGGTGTAAAATGAACATCAGAGTATGTAAGTTCTACCTAAGTGCTTTCCCAGGGCTCAGAGCCGAATAGGGAGCACTCTAAGTATGTAAATGATGTAAAGTAAGGGTCCATAACGAAATGGGAAGTGTAATATGCCAAATATAGTCAGATAACGAAAGGGACATACCAAGGGACTGGTTGGACGATGGATGGATGCTCCTGGATGACTGCGCGATGCAGTGCTCTTAAGCGTGAGAAAGCGCGCAAGACACGCGCGTGGGAATGCTGCACATAGTGCGGGAAAGTAGCGCGCCTATGGCGCATTTCGCAGGAAAGTAGTGCATGATATGCAGAGTCAACTGAAGACTTGGTGGAAGTCATATGGATGATGGTGTGAGTTGTGCCATGAAACGCCAGTTGTCAGAATTCATAATATGGGCCCATAACAGCCTGCAGAAACGCGAGTCTCTACAGCAGGGCAGGCTGATGTCTAGGGCGCGCTAATTGCAACCACAGGGTGAGGATCTCCAAATATGCATGCAAGATGAGTGGGAGTAGCCTTACCACTGCGACACTTGACATCAGAAGCATCAAGCTCCGCTACTAAGTTGACATCTTTGGCAAGCATGGCCTCATCGGCAGATTGATCATCACCATCACCAAGTGAGGCAGGATTGGAGAGCGGGCTGCCTGGTTCCAGAGCCAACTGGTTGATGCTTTTATACAACAATGTGGCCGCATCTGGATCTGACTCCAGATGCGCTGTTCCAGATTCCCTGACGACGACACAATCATTAGCATCACCTATGCATCCGATAATGATGAGATGCGCATCTGGATTTGACTCTAGTTGCGCAGACATACCTTTTTGAACATCTCGAACTTGAGCGACAAAGTAACCCATACATATGTGAGTATCACATTACAATAACTCTAACACCGAGTGTTCATACCTTGTTCTCATTCATCAGGATGGAACAAATCTACAAGTCAAGGTGACGAATAAGTTGTGCATCTGGAGTCAATTCTAGTTGGGGCATACATACCCTTTGGATCGTTTGTTAACACTGATATACAATAGTCATTAGTATCTCCATATTGTGAGATGGTTGGATGGGCCACTCACCTTGATCAAAAGTGATGCATGATGATGAGCGAGGGTTAGACTCAGCAATTGCGTCGTTTAGGCCAGTGGGTTGCTCCATTTCAATATCATCATTAGCGCCAGAGGGTTCCTCTTCTGATAACAGTGAGCCATAGACTTAGCCATTCATACTAACCAGTTACCTTTGACATGCTCAACATTCATTGCGTCTTGCAGGACAGGTGTTACTTTCTGTGCACGGTGTGGAACAGGAGTAGGTTTTTTCTTCCCTTTTGGCAGGGACATTTGGGTGGCCTGAATGGGACCATTGCTCTTCTCAGCAGCGTGTGCATCATCAGCAGTGTTGTCCATCCTGTTGCTACTGACATCTTTGGCACTGTCTTCAATGTTGGCTTGATTTGTGGTTGCCTTTAAGGTGTTATATGTGAGCATGGGTAGTATTTCTTGTTATCTTGTATATGGAATAAACACATGTTAATGATCTCATACAGATCTATGTCACCAGTGACTATGGGGATACCCAGATCAACATAATGTTCACGCCAATCGAACACAGCTGTGTCGTTATCGCTCAATTCATGAAGCAGCAATCGAGATGCATTTAGAATCAGCACCTGTTTGTTAACGTGTGAGTAAACATTCTCTTCAAGATATGATTTGGTAACAAGCGCATCTAGACACAGCTCCAGATGCGCACAATTGATTGTACACACTGTGCCGCATCCAGTGTCGACTCTGGTTGCACACACATGATGAGACTCACCTCAATCAGAGCGTTCACAGTGTCCGCCACATCCCTCAATATCTCGCTGCTTTTGTGACATGTGGCGCACACTAGCTTGAGGGACGTGATCTGCTTGACCACCTTGATGATGGTGTCCCTATCAGATTTCTCTGCTGTGACCCGTTTAAGTGTGTTGAGTTGGGTTTTTCAACATCTCCTCGTCGGGTGGGTGCATCCTCCTCGACGGTTTGGCTCTGGTACATCAATGCTGTCCCAATAGGCCCACTCTTTCAGAATCCCGAGCAAACCTGACGTCGCCAGGTCAAGGTTCAATTGGTACATGGCAGATGACATTACATTCCTCAACATTGAATGCAGGTTCCAAACAATTGGATCTGCAAGAACTTTGGCCGGTAATGATTGGCAACCTGTAGCTCCATCATCACCATCTGAATACCTGACTCGGACTCTCTTGTAATATTCTTCTTGATGCCCGGTGTCATGCATGGCATGTGACTCATACCATGACATATACATAGCAGGAGTAATAAGGGAGGATAATACACCAGAATGTATCCTATCACCAAGTTACCCACATCATTTTTCCCTTAGTTATTAGCTAGTATTTTCACTTTCAAACTTCACTTCCAATTTTTCCATGTATTTCTATTTTGTTCCATGAGATTCTATCTGGTTTCCATTTTGATAGGCATATTTATCCATCAGACTTCCTCTCCAGCCACAAAGCATGTTTGTAAGCTTGCATGTGACTGGTAATAATCTGATTTGTAAGGATTCACCTTGACTCTATCATGTTTTTGTCATGATGCATCATGCTTTGTAAGACTTGCAAGTGTATTTATAAGCTACTTAGTAAGAAGGCTGATTCAGCTCACTCAAAAGATTGGTTTTGTAAGCATGTTCTTACCAATCCTTGGGATGACTCATGTCTTTTATTCATCTTTCTTTGTAATATTACATTGTATTGATAAGCTAGTTAGTAAACAAGCTGACTCAACACACCAAAAGGATTGATTTGTAAGAATGTTCTTACCAATCCATGTGCTGAATCATGCTTAGTAAGATGGCCTCCAAAAAGGTATAAAAGGAGCCCATTTTGCCACTGTCAATTTAAAGCTTCCCACTTTAAACCCTGTTCTCAAATCAGTGAGATTACCTAAGAAATAAAGTGCAGGCAAATCTAGTGCCTTGAAGTAAGACTAAGAAACATCTATCTGAGTTATATACTACCTTACAGGGGTTGGACTATATAACAAACTAACCTACTAAACTTAAACTAAACTTCACACATACAAATAACCTCTCTCTTTCATAGGAAGGGAGAATCAAACTAAGAGAACTACTTCACATTGAGGCAAACTTTCATAGGGTGAAATAAACCTATTTAATTGACAAAGACCTCAAAGCAAACCTACAGAGAGAAAGCAAGAAGGGGACATTTTTAAGTAAACCCTCCCAAGAACTCACATGTTATTTACCACGAAAACTAGAAAAGTGTCGTAGACCGTGTACTTAAGGACTGGCAAGAAGTCTTATCCTATATAGTTGTGCTGTCACTATATACATGTTGTATATAAGACCCTTAAGTAAGAGGACACTGGGCGGTGCCAGTCCCATCCAGTCACGATCAGGGCAGGCATTCCTGGCTTGGAGTGAGATACTGGTGCCATGTTGATGTTCCCTTTTCCTAGGTATTTTTTCAGCTCCTCCAAGTGCTCACTTGTCTTCGCTTTCACAGAGGCTGACATTGATTCCCATTTTGTAGCAAAATCACCTTTGGTTGTCAGTTGCTCGTTCATCTCTGATTGCATCTCGATCTTCGACATATCATTGTGAAGTTGCAGGACGCTCGATGTCCGAGCTTCAAATAGTATCATCCAGACCTGTGATGCACACTCGGTGACTGTAAGTCTGGTTATACATTCATTTCGACGTACCTCATAAATGGCAATCCGCGAATCCAACTGCCTCTCGCGCTCAATCATACAGAACAATGCCTCAGTGTAGTCGTTCCGACGGCATGTGAGTGGGGGCAAGCGACCTTCATGGTGTGGCACATGACCTCAAACCACCAGGACACCTCAATGCACCGTAAGTATCTGGTTGCATACATGTGAATGGTTAGTCCCCCATACCTCTTTATAACCCTCCCTGACATCATCCAACTCTTTCCACATGCGGCTCATGACCATGCCCGTCATCAATGGCAGCGGTACCATGTCCAAGGACGACAACCATATGTAGGTGTGTGCAAGGACACGATCTGACCATAGTGTCTCTTCCGCAGAATCTGACTTCTTGCTCAATCTGCGTTCAAGGACCCTCAAGACGTCATGGGAATAATTTTGCAGGGCAACAGGGTACTCTTTGCTGCCTGGTCCAAATTTACCAGAGTATGTGGCAAAACACGTCACGGCTCGCTCATCGATGTCCGTGACATAGGGAACAAATGTCTTGGGGTCGCCGGCCGCACTGGACAGTATCCTTTGACGCATCTCTCCCACCTACTCCTTGCTTCCTCATTCCCCTGAGATTTTTCGACTTGGTTGCGCACCTCACGATATGATGGGAACTCATCTGTCGACGCAAGCTGTCGAAATGAGCTGACATTGCACCTCAAGTATATCGTATACATCTGTGAGCATGTCATTCATCACTTCGTGCCATTCAGTATTGACATATACATACCCCCATGACCACTGACATATTGCCTGAAAGCCAGCGGACTGATAATTCATCCCGATATCAATAATGAGGTCACATTGGGAGGATGTCGCGCATCAAGGTAACAATGAGCCGTTTGTTCTTCCATATCTTCATGAGTTTCCAATTCTTATCATCTTTGCCCTTCTCATATTCTTGTTAAATCAGCTCGAGGGCAGCTTCTTCTCCCTCCTCCAGGTAGACATCATAAAAGTCACGCAACTTCAACACAAGTTCCTCCTCCTGCATCTCAGCGTAGATGTGCAAGATTTGATTTTGACTCAAATGCGAGCCAAGTCCAGCTTTGCCGCCGTCGATGACATCTAGTAAGTTATCAGCATCATATATCACCCATCGTCTCCACATCTGGGGTTGTATCTAGATGCGCACATAATATGTGCACCGTGTGTTCTCTGTGCATCTAGACATGGGTCCAGATGCACGAGTATACACAACCACTCAACATATTTACAGTGACATCGAGATTGTTGTCTCAATGGCACACATCTTTGCGCATCCAGATCCAGTTCTGGATGTGCAACCTCGCCACTGCAATGGTATACATGACATACCTTTGTCATATAGGACAACGGCCCAGTTTCCAAGATCTTGGAGTTCGCCTTTCACTGCAGCAAGACATGTTCGGCGCTCCTTGTGCTCTGCCACTGAATCATTGCTCGGATCCTTCATCGCCTTGATGCGTGCCATCCACTTCTCCAGCATGGCTTCTTCATTGATTAACGTCTGTGCCATCTTTTTCAGTGCGGCAACATGGTACTGCCCATAGGCAAGTATCAGCGGCTTCCTATCCACAAACTTCACCTCCTCCAAACTCTCTGGTTCACTCCAGTTCCCATCCAACTTCTGTCCAGGGCACAGATGGCTCGGTTCAATGACAATCGCTAGTGCATTGCTCTCCTTGTACCACTGCCATCCGTGCTTCTCGAACAATGTGATCATCTTGTTGACCTCACTCGAATTCTGGGGCCTGTCATTATAAGTGCCGAAACGCAACTCATTTGCGATCTCCAGAATATTGATCCTGCTGACCCCAATTCTTGCCTTTCCTACTGCAACATCCAGCTCATGTTTCTTGCGTGTCTGTTCGTCATTGACTGATGTTGCCTGGACTGGATGTGTGTCCAACTTAAATGTATTGCTCCACAATGTAGGGTATGTCAGCTGCTGTATCGGCATTGCAATCACATGTCACTTACTTCACTATCAGCTGTCTTTTGGATTTGCAGGGCATGTTGAGAACTCGATGTTGGTGGTTTGTATGTATCTGTATGTCGCACAATCTCTCATCCGATCGATTACATTCCTGCATCTAACTCGCTTCTAGACTTGTCTTCCTCCTGCCCTACACTGCTTGATATTTTTTCAATCACTTCTATTCCGTAACGTATATATGTTTATCAGTACTTAAATTAATTGGTTGTTTTAATTGGTTGTTAAAAATAGCACACTCAAAATCAAATAGTGATATATATATATGGCATTAGAACGCGCGGCTATATTGTCACTTGCGCATCTAGAACTAGTTCCATATGCGCAAGGGTTAGTATTATTTATGTCATGACATGCGCATCTGGAATGAGTTCCAGATGTGGAATGGTTGGCATACATAATATCCCTTGTGCATGTGGAACTGGTTCTATATGCACAAGTTACAATATACATACATGATATCACTTGCGCAAGTCAGAACATACGTACATATTGTCACTTGCGCATCTGGAATGGGAGGTACATAGGCCTTGATTTCTGGAAAACCACCAGCACACCACCAGCATAAGCATACCTACTTACGAAAATCCTATATAATCACCTCGTCTTCATTAAGCTTTTGCAGAAAACCAAGCCCAATAAAACTCCGCCCCTCCCTCGCCCCTCAACAATGCATCCAATCTTATCCATTCATTCAACCACATAAATCCTGCAAGAGAGGCATATTTATCTCTCAGCGTTATTATCAATGCAAACCCCATGTCCCCATATCACCTCTTTTGCTGTAGAGTTTTCTCCATCCCTCACTGGAGGAGCCAACCCCAGAATCTGATATTCCGTTTACATTTATGCTCCCTGGCTTGGGTTAGGGTGGTGGCGCTGGTGGTGGTGGTGGTTGCTTGCTTTCACCTTTGTCCTGTCTCATGCCAGTCCCTTCATCTTGAATGCATGGTCAAAGTCTATGCACTTAAGTCTCACCAGATACAGCTTCTGCAGAGCCCCATGACCTGTCTGCTGCCCTCTTGACTCCAACTTACCTCCTGACCTTTAGCCAGTGCCTCCAACACATCTTCTGTTGTAAGTCGTAGAGGTAGGAAGCACTGGACTCAGGATATGAAGCATGCCCCCAGAACTTGGAAAGGCATCCCAGAGTGATCTGAGGTGAAGGTCGACCTCACTCCACTCCAGAACAGGGACACTCCTGATCAAGGAAGAAACAGATATGTCATGGCAAGTCTTGACACCAATCTGGTTTCCACATCCCATGCCCAAGCGTCCCCATCATATCCTGAGTCCAGTGCTCCCTGCCTCTTTTCCCCCTCACAACAAGATATGAGGCCATTAGGGTTCATCTATCTTGGCCCCATAACTGAGTCAACCTCCATTATTCCATATGGTGGATGACTCGCATTGTATGCATGCACACATCCAGTGGTGATGAATGCATGCATCCAGTAGTGATGGATCATTTGGATTGCATACATGCACACATCCTGTAGTGATGGATGATACATCTCTTTCTTTCTTCATGGCTAGCCTCCCACTTGCTTCTTCCCCTTCCATTCCTTGGGTTGGTTGGATGTGGCATGCATCCCCCTTGAACTACTCACCAAGACAGACCCTGTCGCGGTATCCATTTGGCCAGGGTGGGTGATGAACCCCAGTGTTTTTGCCCTACCTGCTCCTTGATGTTGTGGTATACTTGTGGATGAATCTGATCCCCTCATATCTTGGTATGAGGCGACAAAGAGGCAGGGAGCACTGGATTCATGATGAGAGGAGATATCTGACAAATCTCTTTCTTCCTTCATGGCAGGCATCCCTTCCCCTTCCCATTCCTGGGGTCTGCATTGGCGCGAAGATGCACGATCATTGGTAGAAAGCGCCTGTGTGAACGCAGCTGGAGAGTTGCCCAGGAGTTTCACCATGCTTGATAACATGGGAAATATATCTTTCTGATGAGGGGTTTGGGATATCATCTTCTCCATTGATAGAGGTGAGCTATTGTCCTACATAGAGCGCTACTCTCAATGTACATAAATTGGACAAAAAAAAAGAAAAAAGAGGTGAGCTGACCAGGACTGCTCTGCAAGTGACAACCATCAACTTCAAGTTGCCCCAGCGCTGCTGACTCCTCCTCTCTATCTGATGATCATTCAGGCTGGAATTATCATCAGATAGAATTGATAAATTAGACAAAAAACAAAAAGAGATGAGCTGACTAGGACCGCTCTGCAAGTGACGACCATCAACTTCAAGTTGCCCCAGTGCTGCTGACTTCTCCTCTCTATCTGATGATCGTTCGGGTTGGAATTATCACCAGATAGAGTCTCAAGCACATGGTTGACAAGGCTCACATCGAATGGCGATGCACTTCTGGAGGGGCATGAGTGTCATGCAATTCGGCAGGCCTATATGTACCAAGAACTTGCCAAGCCAGCTTCATAAAGACAACCGCTGCCAAGAACACTATGTGGTAGTACATGGCCAGCCTAGAAGTGTTGGTGAGAAATCCACGACTCCCTTGCCTTGGTTCGCCAACTTCACAAGACCCTGAAACCTTAGGCTGTGTTTCACATCCCATAAATTGGACAAAGAGGTGAGCTGACTTGGATCAAACCCAGCACTCACTCTGTTGTTGGATCACATCTATTCAATCTGACTGGGGTGAATTAATTGATGTACATGCTCTGTCTGACAAGCTGACAGAGCATGCACTTCAGTTGATTCACACTTCGATCTGACTGGGGTAAATCAACTGAAGCGCAGGAAGCATCATGCGCTTCAATTGATTTACACCCATACAGGAGGTGAATGTGCTTGTTTCGTCTCTCAAGGTAGCATATATATACTCGCCACAATTCTTGACCCTGTCCATGGAAGTAGCGCGCCAAATTTGCCAGTTGCTAATCGAAACACATTCTCGACAGGAGGAGGAAGTCTTGCTGTATAAATAGTTTGTGCCTAGTTGATGTGAATAAGGTTAATGCTTTTAGTGAAAATTTCATCTTGACTTATGAGTAGTGCGAGATGCAGCAGATGACCGCCATCTGAGAAAGCATGCTTGAAGAAGAATTTCGTTGCCTATGATGATAAACACCTCCAGGGACTCCTTGACCAGAATGCAGTCCTCATTCTCCATGGGGTAGCGCGGCTTGCCAACAGCTGCATTCTTAGATGCAGAAGCAAGTGATGATACCTATGTATTGGTTCTCCTGCTTTCAATCTTCTCCTTTCATCAACCCACTTTCCCTCAATCATTGCAAATGCCGCGCTTCAATGCTTCTTCCTTGCAGCTTCCGCCAAGGCGCACCATTTCTGGAAACAGAAATTTTGTTCCACCAGAGCCATTCAAATCCCTTGATTCTTTGATTGCTTGCATCCAGTAAATCGTGACATCGCGTCAGCCATGCATGTGCAGTTTGCCTGAGAGTGGTATCTGCCAGTAGCATTTGAAATTCCTCTGGGGTGGCGAATCAAATGCTTCACTCGCAAATCGAGGAGATTAGCTGGGAGCTCCAGAGACTCTGAGGGTGTGTGACAGTAAGTTGGTTGGACAGGAGGAGGAACGATGTCAGCTTGAGTTCTTTCTCGACTCTTCTATTACTTCTCATGACGATGCTCAGCTCGGATGTACGGAGCATGTTGTTTGGGTACTGACTTTCGGCCTGACATCCAAGCAGGATTGCAATTGTCGCAAGGAAACCTGAGAGCAATAAGTCGGTGAATGCTCTGCCTGGTACAGGTCAGCGGGAAAATTCCAAGGGAAACATAGCAATGATGACAGACGCATACTCATACATTCGCATAGGTATTTTACATGTTGAGAGCTAGGGCTGGACTTTAGTACAAGAGATCTTTCCGTGTCTGCCCAGCCTCTTTCCTCGCTTCAATAGCCACAATCTGGCGAAGAAAATCTTCATGTAGCTTGTCCAGGGCATCACCAGATGATGTATCCGAAGCCTTCATGGCATCCATATACTCCTGGATGCTGGCGGTATGCTCCGATGACAACTGTTCTTGCAGGGCGGCTGCATACCTATCCAGGGACAAGTGTCCCAAATAATTTGAAAACAGGTCGGCGGCCAGTTCCTGCTCAGGAGTGACTTCATCAGGAGGACACATGGTGCCAGCACCGTCTTGTCTCTCTGGCTGTTGTGTTCTTCCTGTTGATGGGAGGAACCAGAACCATCCCCTGGCAAGCCTGCTTGACCTGTGGATTGCATAGACAACCGCTACAGTCAGAGCAGGTTTCACACCGAAAATTATATGCAATCTCACCAGCGTTATAGGCTTCTTTGTCTGCACCACCGGCTGCTTTCTTGGCAGCAGCCTCACACTTGTGCTCGTTCTCCTTATTGCCTTTGAATATCGGTTTGAGTTAAGAAATATAGCGATTAATGGAACAAGCACCCACTGGCCAATTTTGCACTCCACCATGGCCCCGCTGCTTTCAACACATCTGCTACATTTTTTCCCGACGTGATCTCTGAAATAATCCAACACCAGGCCAACTCGTACTTCTTGTTGGTGTGTTAAGACCGTACTCAAGTAGTATCAGATCCGAGGGGCTTCGGCCTCAGCTCATGCGCTGTGCCCCTTTCCCGAGTCTTGCCCCTTATTTCAGAGTACTAGAGTATCGCGTATATTGAGACGGATAAGTCTCGTAACGGATCCATTATGGCTACCGGATATCGAATGTATATAGTAACGGCTAATCCGGATCAGATCCGAACTAGAAACTAACGGGCGAGGACTGTCCGAAGACAGAGACGGATATATAGACTATAGGAATCAATCCTAAGTCTCGGAGTAGACAAGAGTATCGTACTCAAGTCTGGATGGATAACAGAGGGACTCAGAGTCCAGACAGAATGAGTGCAATCTAAGATGATATTCGAACTGATCTACTACAGTGCATGTACAAGGGTTTATATACTACAGATAACTAACAGAATGATCAATAAGCAAAGGTGTGAGGCTATGTACAAAGTATAAGCAAGGTATGTGTACAGGATATTGGTAAGTCGGACGGATAACATATCATAACCAGGAATGAAGTATAAGCTAAAGCGGATCAGTAAGTGTAGCGGATCAGTAAGCATAACAGAAGTAAAGGATAACCAGTATACCGGTGTACAGGAATGCCGAAAGGAGATGAACGATAGTTAGAGTTATATGAACAGGACATGAAACAAGGATTAGATCGGATCTGTGGACCGGACAACGGATATGTCCATCGGATCTGGATCGGATCTGAGATCCGGATCTTCGGATCTGTACCCGGGAATATGGTATATGACATGGTGACTCTGCTCAAAGTTGTCCATAGAACATTGTCTTTCAAGTCCCAGTGTGTCTCTGGATTCAGATCTTGCCGGTGAACATAGCCTTCCAGAACCAAGTGAGCCTCAAATGTATGAAAGATGTTTGTTGGGTCTGGAAAGGAAAAATGGTGGACATTAGGGTCGAGATGAAAGGTGACAATTGCATACCTCATTGTTCCAAGGTGGTGAAGACCGCCATTGGAGAGCGGATGTGATTTCTCATCAGGTCGTCCACAAACTCTCTCCAGGTCATCTCTCCTGATCAAAGTTGGTTCGCAATATTATGGACCTGGTCCTAGTCATATTCCTTTGTAAGGATGTTGAGCAGAGCATTCAGGTCTTGCATGAATTCCTCGATGACGGTGTACTGCGGGTCTTCATTGAGTACATGGAACAAAAAGTCAATGGGCTTAGTCCAGAGGTCATTTCCTGCAAAGTCAAGATTCGTCAGCAACAGATCCAATAACAAACATCTGCCCTCCCCACCTTTTGCCACCCAATTCCAGTGTTTGGCACTCCAAAAATATGGACGGGGTTCCTGTCCCTCATGCCATCTTGCTGGTAGCTTCGCCTTTGGGTCGAATTGAGACTGGAAATAATAATCCTTTGCCTTCAATGCAGCAAGGGCCTGATGTTTCACAATGGCTGCAAAGATCTGGTCTATTCCATCAATCTTGCCATCAATCCATTTCCCCAAGGTCCTCAGGTGGAGACAACAACCCCTTTCCCTCAGCTTCTATGTTCCAATCCAACTCTACAATTGTGTTTTAAAATCAGCGTAATAATGGGACCACACAAGACAAACTCACCAAAATACCTTTGGTTTTCAGGTAGGATCAGACCAATCCTGAGAAGTCTTTTGTATGGACCAGGCACTTCCTCATAAGTGATGTTGAACCAGTTGCGGGACAATCAAAGCTTCCATTCATCAAGAGTGTAAACCCTTCTTTTAAGATTGGTCATTGCATCATACTGCCAGCGAACCAATTCTAGGATGGTCAGCAGCCTAGCCACCATGTGTTGCACCACCAGCGTGCCAGTGTTCTGATGCAAGATTCTGGCCTTCTCTTTTTGAGTCTTCCTGTTCACCCTTTCCTCCTCCTTGGCCCAGAGTCTCCAGACATTGGAGTGCAAAATTATGTTGTATGATAATTCTAGCCATACCTCCCAGTATCACAGCAGGGCAGCGGTACGTACCCTATCAGTGTCTGATCCTCCATGACAGGCATGTGGCAGATTTAGAATGTCTTCCCGGTGTTCTTGTCGGTGACATCTGTTTCTTCTTCTGGAGGGCGGTGTAGAGACTCCATTGCGAGTAGCCTCACAAAGGCCATATTTCCACTTCGTCTCCACTAACGCGCGCTATATACGACAAGGCGACTTAAATGCGCGACTGCTTCCGCCTAATCCGCGCATCTGGCGCCTATAGCGCGCCTCTATAGCGCCTTTCGCGTTACTACGGCGCCTTTGCGCGTGCTTTCGCGCTTTACCTTCGCGTTCGCTTTTCCAAGTCGCCTGTCCTCCGCATGTCCTGTCCTGTCCCTCTATGATCCGCTGGTGCATCTCCCTTTATCTTTTCAACTGACTTTAGCTATATACCTCGTCTGTTTACACATATTTCCTTATTCTACAACACAACAACTCTTTTTCGCTTCGCTTCCGCTTTGGCTCAGCGCCTGGGAACATTTACCTTAGACATGGGGACTCTGATAGATTTTTCACTTACTTACTTACTCACTACATCCCATCATCCTGCATCAGTGTATACTGTGAATCAATTTCTATTCATTTGCAACACAACCACTGCGCGACTCTCTATTCTTTTGCAACAAGCTCTCTTGAGAAAATCTTGAGAGACCTTTGCGCTACTTCCGCCTCTTCACTGCCCCCTATAGCGCGCCTATAGCGCGCTTGTTCCGCCTACGTCGCGCTTTCGCCTTTCGTCGCGTTAACGCGCGTTTCGCGTTTACAAGGCGTCTCACACCTGCACTTTGCGCAGATTCCCTTGCTGACTTGTTCAGCGCATCCCCTCGCATTTACTCAAGGAAAAGACTCAGTAAAGATCCTCTTGGGCCGACTTCTACTCGCGTTCGAGGACTACTGCAGGCAACTTATCTTATATTTTTCAGTATAGACCCACTCACGATTCCTCATCTTCAGCGGTAGTACACTGCATTCACAGTGTCGTCCACGATGCACTCTGTATCCACTGTGGGGATTGAAAACGATGTTATGGGAGTTATGAGTGGGATTCCTGCTCCACTACAGCCTGCAGATTTGGCATATGCCATATTAATGCTTTGAAAAGAATAAGGAAAAAATAAAAATGTTACCTGCGGTGTTGTTGACAGATTTCATGTTTAATTATGAGTTAGTTGAGTCAACAGGGGTTTGGAGTGACAAAATGGAAACCTGGAGATGAAGCAAACAAGCAGTAGCTTATATAGGGTCTGAAATGTGCATTGTCCACATTTGGCAATTTTCTCCATTTGGATCATTGTCTGCCTGCATTCATATCCACAGTGTGACCTGGTCGACGTACCTGTGGCGGTGCTTTTGTCCTCGGCGTCCATAGCACCACACTTTGAGATGTAATTTTAGTGGGGGAGTATGTGTGGGAGGCATCAAATAATGGGCAGATTTTCGTGCAATAGCCACCAGATAACAGCAATGCAAAAATGTCACTTTTTGTGCAAGCAATGGACCTGCCTAGCACCATGTAAAGTCATTGAATGATCTGTGCTGTTTATTTGTCCCAGCGTAGACCATAGAATTAATTCACGCTGATTAATAGCATGTGATCCTACTTGTATCAATGCTAGGGGGTTGCTTGGCAAAGAAGAGCTAATTTACATATAGAAGTGTGATATTCAACAGGGCAGCTACAAATCATTGGTCACCCGCCATCTCTGAATCATCCTGGACGTCAGCAACAATTTCCGCCCTGCATTTGCTCTTCCCTTGCTTATCTCCGCCTTTCTTTCCCTTGTTTTGGTGCGGTTGAGCTTGCTCATTGTTGGTGAGCTCAACAAAGTAGTTTTGGAGGTCTGTAGAACGGGGGAAGTGATGCCAGAAGAGTTGAGGCGCGACTAGCTTGTTCACCCTCTTGAAGTGCTTGTTGTCCATATCAGTCTTGGTAGACACAGACCTCCGATTGCATTTTAAGCATCTGAGGTGAACCTTGACACCATGATTGTGCATGTGCATGTCAGCAGGCACATGCTGACAACCTGGGGTGGGACAGGACTTGAACTTGTATCCAAAGCACATGATCCGGGATTGTCTTTCCCAATCTGATGGCATTCCACTATGCGCTGTTTGTCGACTGTGCTTGCGAACACAACCACTGCGGTAGTATAGTCCAAGAACTCGTTGGAGGAAGCCATCAACTCGCAAACCGCCGACCAGATGTCAGTGCGTCTGAAGACCCTGGTATCCATAATGAAGGAGCAGACTGTATTGGACACCATGGACGGCAAAGTCCCTGATCCGCCGAATGCCAGAACAAAATCGACAAAATCGCTGAAAAAAAAGTGAGCAGGCTACTGATGTGGAGAGCGACATATGCACTTGTCCACCAAACCTTTCATGGCCTCAAAGTAGTGGCTAACCCTAATAGCAGGGCCGCAGCTCACCATAAACAAGCCCCTCCATCCTCCTCTAGCTCTGGGAGTGAGGTTGCACCGGGGCGCGTTCCCATTCATCGTTTTCTTCACAGTTTCGTCACTCCTTCCAGCCTCGGAGGATGCTTTCATTGATTTAACGAAGTCTTCTCCAAGGTATGCCAGCAAGATTTCGGTAATCGTGGTGTTAGTACTGCCAGCGTGCCCTCCGGTATGTTGCAGCATGCGGGTGTATTCATCCAAATGGGTGTCCACCACAAGAAAGGTGTTTGATGGGAACCCAGCTTTGATATTGCATTTGATGGATTCGACCCCTGGGGCCAGCTTCTTCGACGACTTTAAATGCACACCACCGCGCATATGCAGGATGGATGTAAACAACTGTCAATCCGGTATTTAGATGTTTTGACGCCAGAATCGCATTCATATTGAATATACTTATGTTCTCTTCGTTGGATCAGAAGTGGTTCTCTGCCTCCAGTATGACTGATTTGGTGAGATAGTTGTCCTTCATCGACTCCAGGTTAAGATTAACAATGGCCATCTTCACCTTCTTTCACCTACCAAAGCCAATGAACGCATACCGCAAGGGCTTGTACTTCCCATCTCCTCTCCTTGAGCACATGGGGCACCGGAAATCTTTGTCTCTGACCTCCACAGTATTGAGATAGATGTAGCCACTGCTGCATGGAAACAATTGTTCACACACAACAGCGCCGCAATTGATGCATTCGTGCTTGCAAGGAGAATCCACATGGTCGCAACAGAAGTGACAGAAGGTGCCAGTTGTCACATTTGCAGAAGGAGGGATGGGAGCCACAGTTGCAACTGGACGAGGCGAGGATGCAGTGTTGGTGTTGCCAGAGCTCTTGCCATCCGTAAGAATATTCGACAGCTTAAGTTGGGCTGATGGGCCGTTGGGCAAATCAACCATACTGCTGATGTCGACATTGCCAGGAGCAGATCTTGAGATCCCACTGAGGATTGCGCTAGCCAGAGCCTTGGCCTTTTTTCTGGGCGGTCACTCAGCCTTGGCGGCGGATCTTTTGGGAGGCATATTTGTGATATATGGTTAGGAAGTTGATGTATGGTTAGGAAGTTGATGTGTGGTAAGGGCGAGGAAAGAAGCCTTCCCGATTATTTTAATTGCTACCACAAGATCTTTCTGTCCGATCCAAGGTCAGCTGCACAATGGTCCACAAGCTGCCTTTATATTGTTGGTCAGAAATATATAAGTACAAACCACAAGTTATTATTTATATTAGTTTCAAATGAAAGGTCGATCCTCCATATTGTTGCTCCTTCGCATGCTGAAATGTTTCGCCATGTCCACTGTGGTGTGCAAAACACCACAATTTTAATAAGAGTTGCCACAGGTAGGTAAACCCTTATGGGAAGCATCATCAAGGCAGGATTTCCTCCTGCACGTCAATGGCACTCGATATTCTCTGGGTTAGAAGTTATCGTGAATCGACTCGCCTTGAGCCATAGAGACGCTGGCGGTTCGCCTACTTTTGTTTGATCCTTTTAGTCAGTCTGGGCACCAGCCATACTGCAACCATGTAATTAGGGGATGTCCAGGCAGAGGAGTTCTGGAGCATTCAGTCAGGCCTTGGGTTAACAATTCGTGATTGCTCATTTCATGAGGGATGAGGGTGCCAAGATCCAACTTTCCCATGCAGACATGTGTTTTGGAGATGGTAGGCGAGAAGGTCATCAGGAGTTCAAAGAAGTCTGGGTGCTGATGAGATGGTTCATTGACAACCTGATGTTCTACAGTGTTTTGCAAACCTGCATTGCAGCTTGGACAATAAGCAAACATCAATTCATGTCCTTTCCTCCGTTGCGCCAGATAAAAACATGCAAACTGGCAAAGCTCATGGAGATCACCCTGAGTTGTATGTAGACATGTAACCGTCCTATGCAGGGTTGTACTTTTTTAAAATTTCCTATCCATCCTATGCGACATAACTAAAACTATTAACTAAAACTATTACTGTAGCTATATAAACGCTAGTCCAGGACTGTCAGCAATTGCACGATGTTCTGTGGTAATGAAAATTCTGATGACTTGAAGAGCGGGGGATGCAGACCCATTGCAACAATCAACAGTCAGATTGCACAAGGGCGCTGTGCCCTGTAAAGGACAGAGGCAGCACTGCTCCCATCAATCACACTTACAGGCAGAGCTAGAAATATCACAAATAAGATGTCGGTTTTCCTGCAGGCACAAGGATGGTAAATAGAAACAACTCACTTGGATGCACTGGGAAGTAGATGAGGTCGAGTCAAAGTGGATTTGCAATTTGATGATGGAGAGTCCACCAAATCAGATCTACTCTTTGTTGTTTAGTTGATTCCAGCCTGGATGGTAGATCAGCATGCTAGAAGGTTGAAAGCAACAGAAAGAAGCCCTCCAAGAGAGGAGGAAGTAAATACAGCAACAGCAATAGCCCCAATGGCAATGGCAACTCTTTCCAAGCCATGAGGCCCAATACTCTCTCCAGTCAAGGACAAAGTGAGCGCCTCCCCATCTAACAGAATTCCGGCGAAAGCCAGAGTTGCCTCCTCATACAATAAGTTGTCTGCTAAACGGTTGGGACTCCGAACAATCCCAAACAACCCGCAAAATAATGCAGCAGTCCCAACGGCAACTCTTGCCAGGCCATAAGGCCCAGTACTCTTCCCTGTACAGGGCAGAGAGAGCGCCGCCCCATCCAACAGAATTCTGGCGAAAGCCAGAGTCGCCTCATCATACAATAAGTCGCCTGCTAAACGGTTGGGACTGTGGACAATTGCAAACAACTCCCAAAATAATGCAGCAGTCCCAACGGCAACTCTTGCCAGGCCATAAGGCCCAGTACTTCTTCCCTGTACAGGGCAGAGAGAGCGCCACCCCATCCAACAGAATTCTGGCGAAAGCCAGAGTCGCCTCCTCATACAAAGAGACATCTGCTAGATGGTTGGGACTGCCAGGACCCAAAGATCTGGCGACAGTCGCAACAAGGAGCCAGAAGAAGGCGGAGGGCAAGAGTCCACGCAGAATTAAAAAGACTCACCTAGTCTGCAAAAGGGCGCGCATGACCATGGAGCAAAAGACGCACTTCCATTCAAGGAAGTCATGCACTGGGGTAGCTGGGTTAGACGGAACAAAGAAAGAACATACCATAGCAAACAACGGAAACTGCTAAGATGAGTCAGGACTCTGTAAGAATAGCATAGTGTAGGAGAGAAAAGGGACAGAAGAAAAAAAAGGAGAGTGAATAGCCAATGGTGTGATGGATCGATGTGTTGGATGGAACAAAGACAAAAGAGGAGAGACAAAGAAAGAAAGAGAATGAACCATGACCAAACACAAGCAAACACAACAGGTACAAACAAACATGTCACGTTACACAAGTCCTACTCTTCAACAAGTCTTCAGTTCAATGCAAATTCGAGAGCAGCATGTAGCGGTAGTTATATAACATTAAGAACAGTGAATGCATGGGCTCTTGGGAACGGGTTGAGCCACTGCTGCCTGCATACACGTCGCATCTCATAAGTAAACATATCAAGATCGTGCGGGATCCTTCATGTAATTGCCCACCACCCCTCCCTCAATGCTCTTCGCCCATGAACTCCACCTTTGCCCGCCCCGATCTCTCCAACTATCTGTCAGCAATGTTCCCGTTTGCACTGGGAAGTGTCTTCTCTTATGACCACTTGAAGCCGGCGCGATGAGGAACGGAGGGGTCCGGTTTGTGCATAGGATTGAACCAACAGCGATCGAGATATTATTAGGGAGGAGACTGGCTGCAGGTGCGTCAATGGTGAGAAACAGGATGGGGTAGTTTGAGGATATGCTGTGAGTACCACGGTGAAATGTCTATGTGTGAGGGAGCAGGCGAAGTACAACAGGTTTGTAGTGAAACTGCAACAATTATTTTGGCAGCAGCCCACTGAATCTAGGCCATTTGTGCGAAACAAGTCAGCATATTCAGCTATCCAACTATCTTGAGACAATGGCACCTTGGTCATTATATGCAGGTGGGGTGAGAGCCCCATCAGACGATTCGGTAGATGTGATCGGAGAATGAACGAGTGCGGGAACCGGGGAAGATGCATCGTATGTGACTGATGGTGGAACAGAAATAGCAAGAAGTGCAGGATCAATGGTGCAGTCTGGAATTATATGCTGAAAGGTATTGGTAGTTGTAGGTGATACAGGAGATGGCGATGACGTGTGCCTGGGAGCCCCTTCAGTGACAAATCCCGTATTATACGGGTCACCCGACCTACATAATATCTAGTGTAATACAGGGCCAGCGGATTATGGGCCGATGTTATGTATATACCCGATGTTGACGGGTGGGCCGGGAGGAATATTATTTCCGATGGAGACGGGTGGGCCCATCTATGCTGATGTTATATATATCATCGATGATAGCAGATGGGCCGGGAGAAATATTATTATGGAGATGGGTGGGCCCATGTGGGTAATATGTAGAGTAGGATTGACATATATTATAGACCTGAGGAGAGATGTATAGCAAATAGTATTATATAGACAGGTGGGCCGACGTATCAGTATTATTTTGTAGACGGATGGGCCGAGGGAGCGGTGGAAATATTTATTAGATAGACGGGTGGGCCGATGTAGGGAAATATTAGATAGACGGGTGAGCCAAGGGTGGGGTGAATTATTTATTAGATAGACGGGTGGGCCGATGTGGGGTAATATTAGATAGACGGGTGGGCCGAGGGTGAGGTGAATTATTTATTACATAGACAGGTGGGCCGACGTGGGGTCATATTAGATAGACGGGTGGGCCGAAGTGCAGAATTTTACATAGACGGGTGGGCCGACATCGGGTAATATCAAGTACCAAGTACTAAAAACCCAAAACCCAAAACCCAAAACCTGAAACCTGAAACCTGAGCCCTGAACACCCAGATCGGGACTCAAGAGACTCAAAACTCAAATTCAAAACCCAACTGGAAAGTCATACATTTTTACAAGTTAAGAAATTCAAATTTAAGATGATATACATTTTTGTCATCTGGAAATACCAAGTACTGAGTACCGAGACCTGATACCCAAGACCTGAGATTTGGCACTCAGTAGTCAGTGAAATGAGTACAGAAATACATAAGATACTACACATTAGTTTCAAATTTTGACTTGTGAATCCACCGAGTACTGGACTACTAAGTACCAAGTACCGAGTTCCGAGTTCCGAGTGCCCTGAGGCTTCCGGGTATTAAACACAGATAGCCCTCGCTCTCAGGGGGTCATCAGAATTTAGATCACCTCAAACGGATGTGATTTGGGTGAGATATGAGCAAAATACTATATACCAGGTGAATTTCAGCATTGGAAGTTTGATGCTTTCGATGTTTTTGATGTCGGGTCTCAATGCTTTCGGGCATTAACATGTAGATAGCCCTCAATCTCAGGGGTGTGGCAAAATTTAGATTGTCTGAAACAGATATAATGTGAGTGAGATATATGCAAAATACCACACACTGACTACCAAGGGCTGAGTACCAAGTGCCGAGTGCTGAGTGCCGGAGTTCCGAGTTCCGAGTTCCGAGTTCCGAGTTCCGAGTTCCAAGTTCCGAGTTCCAAGTTCCAAGTGCCAAGTACCCCGATGCTTTCGGGTATTAACACCCAGATAGCCCTCGCTCTCAGGGGGTCATCAGAATTTAGATCATCTCAAACAGATGTGATTTGAGTGAGATATGAGCAAAATACTATATACCAGTTGAATTTTGGCATCAGAAGTTTGATGCTTTCGATGTTTTTGATGTCGGCTCTTGATGCTTTCAGGCATTGACATGCAAATAGCCCTAGATCTCAGGGATTCATCAGAATTTAGATAGTCTTAAATAGATATGATTTGAGTGAGATATATGCACAATCCAAGATACAGGGTGAATGAGTCCCAAGTGTTGAGCGCCAAGTGCTCAGTTCTGAGTTCCGAGTGCCGAGTGCTGAGTGCCCCGATGCGTTCGGGCATTCAATCACTGTCAGGAGGTGTTCCCTCATCCACCTCAGTGCCATCAGTGTTGCAATCAAGCTTTCTGCCGTGTGCTGAGTGCCGAGTTCCGAGTTACGAGTGCCCCTGATGCTTTCGGGTATTGACACCCAGATAGCCGTCACTCTCAAGGGCCCGTCAGAATTTAGATCATCTCAAACGGATGTGATTTGAGTGAGATATGAACAGAATACTATATACCAAGTGAATGTTGGCATCAGAAGTTCAATGCTTTCGATGTTATTGATGTCGGGTCTCGATGCTTTCGGGCATTGACATGTAGATAGCCCTCGATCTCAGGGGTGTGGCAAAATTTAGATTGTCTGAAACAGATATAATTTGAGTGAGATATATGCAAAATACCACACACTGACTACTGAGTGCTGAGTACCAAGTGTTACAAACTAGGATAGTTCTGACGTATGGCTACTCGATAAGAGCAATCGGCCAAGGTCAGTTCAAGGCTTCGGCGTATACCGAAGCTTCAGTATTTCTAAGACAAGAAAAGGAGAGTGTCCTCTACTTGAATCAGGTTCAATACGACTTAAGATTGGAGGTCTTAAGCGAAGGAAGTTCCAGGTAAAACCTAGTAAGATTAAAGTAAAGAACTACATGGAACAGGACGAGTTTATATAGTAAACGGTAACGACTTTAGGGCCAGTACGATGAAGTCATAGAGATAAGACGAGTCAGAGATAAGACGAGTCAGAGATAACAAGAATAGATCATCTAGCGACGGCAAGATGCGATCGTGATGTAATACAATGATGTAAAGCAAAGAAAATGAATAGGGGCGTACTTGACTGTAACACCAAGTGCCAAGTGCAGAGAACCGAGTTCCGAGTGCCGAGTGCCGAGTGCCGAGTGCCGAGTGACCCAATGCTTTCGGGTATTAAAAGCCCTCGCTCTCAGGGGTCCGTCAGAATTTAGATCATCTCAAACGGATGTGATTTGAGTGAGATATGAACAAAATACTATATACCAGGTGAATTTTGGCATCAGAAGTTCAATGCTTTCGATGTTTTTGATGTCTGGTCTTGATGCTTTCGAGCATTAATATGTAGATAGCCCTTGATCTCAGGGGTGTGGCAGAACTCACATTGTCTCAAACAGATATAATTTGAGTGAGATATTTGCACAATACTATGTATATACTGACTACCGAGTGCTGAGTGCCGAGTTCTGAGTTCTGAGTTCCGAGTGCCAAGTGCCGAGTGCCGAGTGCCCCGATGCTTTCGGGTATTAACACCCAGATAGCCCTCACTCTCAAGGGCCCGTCAGAATTTAGATCATCTCAAACGGATGTGATTTGAGTGAGATATGAACAAAATACTATATACCGGGTGAATTTTGGCATCAGAAGTTCGATGCTTTCGATCTTTTTGATGTCGGGTCTCAATGCCTTTGGGTATTGACGTGTAGATAGCCCTCGATCTCAGGGGTGTGGTAAAATTCAGATTGTCTGAAACAGATATAATTTGAATGAGATATATGGAAATCCCATATACTGACTACCAAGTGCTGAGTACCAAGTGCCAAGTGCCAAGTGCCTTCCGAGTGCCGAGTGTCCCGATGCTTTTGGGCATTACCACCCAGATAGCCCTTGCTCTCAGGGGTCCATCAGAATTTAGATTATCTCAAACAGATGTGATTTGAGTGAGATATGAGCAAGATACTATATATCAGGTGAATTTCAGCATTGGAAGTTCAATGCTTTCAATGATTTTGATGTCGGGCCTCAATGCTTTCAGGCATTGATATGCAGATAGCCTTCACTCTCCAGGGTCCTTCAGAATTTGGATCGTATTTCAGCATCAGGAGTTTGATGCTTTCAATGATTTCAATGTGAGGCCTAGATGACTATGTTCATTGACATGTGGATAGCCCTTAATGTCAGGAGTGTCGCAGAATTCATATGGCCTCACATGGACATATGAGGTAATGTAGGACATTCTCAACACATCAGGAGACACATAAAAACACATCATAAGGCACTACATCATGTCTTCAATAGTCATACCTATGTGTAGTATGATAGTGTGATCTTTAATATACTGTTCAGGCTGACACTCATCAAGTATCACAGGTCTATTGTACAGACTTAGAATAAAATACAGTAGTCTTAACTTGATAGTCATTACATGATAGTCTTCACTTGATAGTCTAATATGATTGTTGATTACTACATAATACATAAGCTGTGAGGGTTAGGATTATTATGGAAGATATGACAGTCATGGTTATTAAGAAAGCTTATATTATGCCTAGCAAGTTAAGACTATTGAGTTAAGACAATCATATCCTTAGTCTAGTAAGCACTGTCAAAGCTTGTGACCTTCTGGTAACTGTGTGGCAAAATCATATTTTGCTGATGTATATATCTTGTGATTGTAACTTTCTTGCACCAGTGCACAGTGATTGCCTTGAATTTCGAGTTTTTTTGTATTTAGAGATACATACCACTGACAGATACTGTTTCAGGGACTGGAACAGTACATTGGAAGCCAATCTATCATATTATACATAGGTGTGATCATAGCAAACCTGATGCAGTCCCTGATGATGTGTTTTTATGTTTCTCCTGATGTTTTAGAATTTTTCCCACACAAGGCTGACAACAAAAACATTGAACCTGCGAAGCTCAGACACACCCAATAAATTGTATTTTGCTCATATCTCCCTCAAATCATGTCTGTTTGAGGCAAAATATGATCCCCAACATCCCTTCAATAGTATATGCAATATATAAGGATACTAGGACAACAGGATTTATTCCTGTTGTGCTATGTGCTTACCCTTGGTGCAAGGCCTGACATCAAAAATCACCCGATATGTAATATTTTGCTCATATCTCACTCAAGTCTTATCCGTGTGAGACGATCTGAATTGTGACAGGCCCCTGAGATCAAGTTCTATCTGCTTGTGAATGCCTGAATGCATTGAGGCTAGACATTGCAAACATGGAAAGCATTGACCTTACAATGCTGAAATACACACAGTATATGGGATTTTGCTCATATCTCACTCAACTCTTATCCATTTGGGATGGGCTAAATTCTGCCAGACCCGTGAGATCTAGGGCTATCTGCATGTCAATGCCTGAAGGCATCGAGGCTTGATATCAATGACATCAAAAGCATCAAACTTCTGATGGTGAAATTCACTTGGTATATAGTATTTTGCTCATATCTCACTCAAATCACATCCGTTTAAGATGATCTAAATTCTGACGGGCCCCTGAGAGCGTGGGCTATCTGGGTGTTAATACCCGAAAGCCTCGGGGCACTCAGCACTCGGAACTTGGCACTCGGAACTCGGCACTTGGCACTCGGAACTCGGCACTTGGCACTCGGAACTCGGAACTCGGCACTTGGCA